GCCGATTCCCCAATCCACACTGGAAAAAAAGTAGCTTGGATCAAGCATGATGATTCTTGAATTTGCCGTCAAGAATTTTTTTTATCTTGCTTTAAACTGACTTTTTCTTGATACAAGACAAATAAGACTTGGGTTAAGCAAAAAAGTAGCTTATATTAAGCAGAAAAATTCTTGATTTAAGAAGAAATACTTCTTGGCGGCAAATTTAAGATTCTTTTTTTTTCAGTGCAGTCGAGGAGAAAAACGCGGCCTCGCGCCGAAAAGCACGATCGAGTAAAACCCACTCATTTTTCCGGGTTGTTCCTGACTCCTCAAAAACTTGTCACCCTACCCCTCGCTCCCGACCGAGAAGAAAAACACAGTCTCACGTCAGGAAAACACGGGCGATTCCGAGGGGAGGCAACGCTCATCGCACTCCGAAAACGGGATCGCGACATCGTGAAATCGTCATTCATCAAAATCAACGTCAACACCACCACCACCAAACACCCCCCCCCCCNCTGCGATCCGTTTGCGGGGTGTCTCGCTCGCACTGGATGCAGGGTCGTGGAAAATGGGAAGGGAGGGGGAGGGGGTACCCGATCGAGCGCGTGGAAATAGCCGCCGATTGGTGCGGAAACGACGGAGTGATAACGGCTGTGTCTGAAAAGGGGGGCGCGGGAGGAGGGTGAGGGGGTCAGCTTCCGCGCTAAGGGAGAACGCCGTATGAGTCTTCAGACGTTGCCAAACCTCACACTGAAAAAGAAATCTCGGTGTATTTACTAAGGAAAGGGTAAAATTACCAAGAATTCAGGGTTCTGTTTGATCCCAGTTTTTTCTTGGTAAAATTACCATTTATGGAATTGGTAATTTTACCGAGAAATCTCGGTAAAATTTTGATCTTTCTCGGTAATTTTACTGGACCTTGGTAAAAACGCCAATACTTTTTATTGACTGTGGTAGAATTACCGAGATAAAATGGCAAAGTTACCGGGAATTGATTACCAATAAAAGCGGTATTCTTACCTGAAAAAAAACAGGAAAAATACCGGGTTTTAGGTAAGCTTACCAGTCTGTCTTGGTAAAATTACCAATAATTGGTAAAAAAAGTGAGATGGTAAAGGTACCAACGGACCTTGGTAAAAACGCCGAGAATTTTTTTTCAGTGTTTGACGAGTATCGAATTTTCCGAAAAATTTGTAGGTACTTTTCCGCAAACTGATAGCAGCAGACGCACGGGTCGTAAGTAAGCAGTCGTAAGTAAGTCGACACTAAATTGGAATTTTGTAGCCAACGTGCGTTAAAAATCAGCATAAAGCTGAACACCTCAATACAGAGGGAAAAAGCTCAAATGAGCACAATTTTCCGTCAAAGAGATACGCTGTTTGGTGCAACACTAGTAACGACCAATCAGGGAGGCCTAATAAGGACCAAACGCGTCTACAGTTACCTTCCTGAATGGTCGTTAGTCGTGTTGCACCAAACAGCGTATCTCTGTGAGGGAAAATTGTGCTGATATGAGCTTTTTCCCTCTGTAATGAGATTTTCAGCTTTATGCTGATTTTGAACGCACGTTGGCTAAAAAATTCCAACTCACTGAGATACTTTTCCTTCTAATTTTCAGAGTATTTCGTTCGTGATTTGATCTATGGTGTCTACAAGTTTCAACGAAAAATATGCACAGCTGTTCCTCAAGAATAAGTTTTTTCTGAGAGTAAATTTGGCAACATTTGAATGTTCATACGACGTTCTTCCTTAGCACGGCAGTCAAAAAGGCCATCGCATCCCCCGGTTTTTCGGTTCCTCTTATCGGTGCGGCTCATCCTGCCGCGACGGCGAAGAAGGGAGCGTTTTCCGGGAAGGGGTCGGCTACATTTTTAACAGAAAAAAAATTCGAAATGAGAAAGAGATAAATGAACCCTTCGGGAAACGTGTGATTCTCGGTAGAAATATTCATCAAAGTTGGTATAAAACTCATTTTGGAAGTTAGAAATTGAATCTAAGACTTTCTCATGACGTCATGAACACTGGAAAAAAACACATTGGATCTAGAGTCCAGACTCTGAGAAACATCGACAAGAAAAAATATTCTTGATTCAATCAGGTTCAAGCTTAAATCAAGAACCAAGCCTCTTAATTTGAGCGGATTTCCTTTTGATTTACGCAAAAATCTGATTGAATCAAGAGTACTTTTTCTTGTCAATGTTTTCAAGGGTCTGGACTCTAGATCCAATGTGTTTTTTTTCCAGTGAACTCTGCTACCAACTTGTTTGTTCATGTTGCACCGAGATCAGTAGAAACACCATCATCAGCAAAAAATAATGAGATCCGCCCAAAAACCAAGTTCCTTGTCCAATATTAACGGAGACTCTCGACAAAACAGGGCCTATTATATGTATGTCATCCGCCGTGGTGATATATATCATGGTATGCTCCACCTTATTGTCAGTTTCACCCATTTTTCTCGCTTTTTTTCTTCACTTCAATGCTTAATCTCATGCTTACAGTCGCTAAAGTTCCATTCCCCTCCGTCCCTAATCAAGCCAGTCCCAGGTAACCGTTGTTTGAGACCATCAAACTCGGGTCACCTAACCGGGAATCGAACCCGGGACCTCCCGAGTCCGTGTTGCATATGGATTTTATTGAAGGGACTTTGACTTTTCTTCAAAGATCGACCTAAGAAAAAAGACTTCCTTAATGGCAACGCCCGGGTGCAACTATTCGTGCTCAAGGGGTGTCCGTGTTGCGTATGGATTTGATTGAAGGGGCTCTGGTTTTTCTTCGAAGATCGACCGTAATAAATAATAAAGCCTTCCTTCATGGCAACGCCCGGATACCACTATTCGTGCTCAAGGGATGCCCGCGTTGCCTATAGAATTAATTGAAGGCGCTGTGGTTCCAGCTCCCTCATGGCGATGCGCATCACTCTCCGAAGTGTTTCGCTCCGGTAATTGACATCCAACGTAATGCACTGCGAAGCGCCCCCCGGGGCCGAACCGCGTAGTAGGCAGGGGGCGTAGCTCCCGGTAAATAATTGATCTCAACCATCGTCGCTTAGCGCAAATAGACCCGCAAAGTTTACGAGTTGAATTTATGCCCCGCTCCTGGGCCTCGCTCTGAATTAGTGATGAACACTGCGCCTTCGAACAGGAATCTCGCCGCCACTTGAGATGAATTTTTCAACGCCCTCCCCGACCAGCGATTCGATTTTCGTATCGCTATTGAACGACCTCGTTCGATACATAGCGTTGCTAAGATAGGGATGTATTGATCCCGGCGCCTCGATTCAACGCCTGGATGCAACCATTCGAGCTGCGCGGTCGTCCGTGTTGCATCTTAAAAAATGAAGGCGTTTCTCTTTGTCATTCGTACTGCAAAGTTCGCTGCAGAAAAGAGGGATTTCCTGGCGATGAGCCACCAGCGCTGGAGAAGCATTTTTGCAGCCGAGCCCTTCTCAGGATCTGATTTAAGCGGCTGCAACTGCGGGCTTGGAGTGGTGACTTTTTAAACGGTCATGAAGACGTACTTGGCGAAGCGATGAGGTGCCTATTCAACGAGATGAGTAACGCGGCATGGCATTGAGGCAAAATTTCCGCTACTTTGAGCGTTATCTCACTCAGCGTGTGTCGCGGCCGGAATGAATTCCATTCAGGACTGTGTACACACATTTCTGTAGCGTACTCCGGCGAGTTCTTTCATGGCTCCAGCCTGCCGGCTGATTGTTGAAATTGATAGACAAAGTTATAGACAAGGAAAGCAGGGATTATGGAGCGATCCTAATGGTTAATTTGGGTGGTTTTTGTGGACTAAGGCTCACTAAGGGAGAAAATGATGGACTAACCATCGGGTCTCTCGTGAGTTGCCGTCTTTTAATCTATTATCAACCTCCTTTGTCCATCCACCCGCTTCTACCAGATCCCTCCATATCCCTTTTATCTTCTTTGTCTATAGCTTTGTCTATCAATTTCAACAATCAGCCCGCCGAGCCGGTCGATTATTGAAATTGGTAGACAGAGCTATAGACAAAGAGGACAAAAGGGATATGAAGGGATCCTATTGGTAAACGCCAGTGGTTGCAATGACCAAAGGGGGTAGATTATAGAATTACTAATGGCAATCCACGAGTTACCCTATAGCTAGTCTATCAGTTTCTCTCCTAGTCTATAGGAACTACCCATTTCAACCAATAGGGTCGCTTCATACTCTCTGTGTCTCCTTTGTCCACAGCTTTGTCTATCTATTTCAATAATCAGTCCGCAGGGCTGCCGCACTAACAAGTAAAAATGCCGCATGATAATACGGACGCCTCGAATTTACTGTTGATGAACATTGAATTTTTTTGAGAATCTGTGAAATTTTTTTTCCGAATTTTTCACACGCATCCGCAAATTTCAACGAAGTATAAATCTACAAATTTTCTCATAAATAAATGTTTCAATCAAGGGAATTTGACGACTTTTGAATACTATGCATACCTCTCTCCTCAATGAAATAGTACGGTAACCCTTCACTTTTGCACTTATCAATCAATTTCAGATTCGCACATTCTTTGTGCTTATTAGGTACCTATACATCCGTTCGTGTTGTCTGCGAGTAGGTATCGTATGATTTGGCAATAGTGCAGGCTATGTCTGATTAAAATGCAATATATTTTGAAAGTATTAATCAATTAAATGAACATTTCATACAATCTAACACTTATGCGTGACCTTAAACGGAAAAGGGGTCTTTCATGTACAGAAGTAAAAGTTTATGAGAGCGATTTCTGTCAACCAAAAATTGGAATTTTCAATTTCTAAATCGCTCTTCATTATTATGTCAAGAAAAACGGTTTTTTTATACTAGCAGGGTGCATAAAGTTGCAATATGATCTGACAGTTATGTGCTCCAAACATGATTGTAGAGTATAAAGAGTAATGCGTTTTAAAGCTCTTTTCTCTTTTTAGATTTGTATGTGCAATATTTTCGTGATATTTGTTGGTAGCAACTAATTGACTGGGGTTTCTATTATTTTTTTACAGATTTAATAGATTTTGTAAAAGAAAGACTGCCTGCCCATGAGTATCTGAAGGAAGAAGATCCGAAATTATATGTTAGTCAGAAAACCGGCAGGGGTCCTGTCACGGAAAGCTGGCTGGACGAATACTGGAATGAATGCAGGGTGAAGAGACTTTAATTTTGTTTAATATTAATTACTATCTTCCTTTTTTCATTTTGAAAAAGCGAAAGCTTGGAAGTAATTTTTCAAGCAGAAGAATTCAATGGTCCGCGTGGATCTCTTGCTCAGACTTGGTATAATTTATTTGCACACCATAGCATTTTGCTGATTTACTTCTCATTTTGATACAACACTACTGAATCACTCATGATCATTTCAAATGATTCATCACCCAGTTATAATGGTATCATGCTGTTTCACCATAATGCCATCAAGAGGTCACTCTCCAGTTAAATTTAAATCAGAACTGCAGACAGTTCACAGGACCCATTTTGCTAGCTCACCACACAGCTAGTTTTTGGCGTGACCTGGAATCAAACCTGGCGCTATCTCTTGCAAAGTGCCAGAAGCCTGAATTCTGCCTACCGTGTGCCCCAATTTTGGACCTAAATTCTCGCAGGTTTAGAAAAAGCAATCCTAAAAATTTTAAATAATAGCGGACCGTTTTGTGATCGAAGAACCAGTTTTCACAAGAAACTTGCGACTGAGTGAGTGGCCCAGATTTTAAAAAATGTGCGATTTGTTTGGAGCTCAAGCAGTGTGTGCAGTTTGGAAGCAGCAAGATTTGCTTGCAACAGACCAGCTACATTTTTTGATCTCAGTTGCATCAGCATATTAATGTACTTACTTAAGTACTTATCTGCTCATGCTGTTTTTTGCGCTCAACCTATGACTGTTTTGCCTTCAATAACGAGAAGAAACACTAAGAATTGGCCCAAACTGTATGTAACAAGGTGGAGAAATGGTGCCGGATTAACACCATTTCGTGGGGAAAACAAAGCAAAAAGTTCCACAAATTTCGTCAAGTAAAAGTTTTTGAGCACTAATAATTACCAGTACAAAAAAAAAATGTTTGACTTTAATTGAAATTTTTGGAACTTTTTGGCTTTGTTTCCCCTGCGAAATTGTGTTAACCCAGCACCGTTTCTCCACCTTGTCTTCAATAACTTGAGCAGGAAGTGTGAACTAAGAAGCTTTTGGAGCAGCAAGAGTTGCTTACAGAAACTCGGACACGTTTACTAGCGCGCAGATCTCACACTGATCAGTGTGCCTTCAATATCTTGTGTAGGCAACTTAAACCGCTCAGGCAGGAGCAGCAATTGTTGCTTACAGAAGTTCGACCACGTTCGCTCTGTTTCAGCAGAAGTCGCACTTTGATAATAATTACTACTCTACCAAGAGCGCGCTGTGCTCCAACCATTTCACCTTCAAATACTGAATGAGCAGTGTGATAAATTTAGAAGCATCAATATTCACTTGCTATCATATAATTATGTCCGTTAATGTGTTTAATCACTCACAATCTAGCTCTAGTTACCTGTAACAGGTTTCCATAAAAATCATTGGATTTATTTGTCCTCGTTTTATTTCACCCAATTATTTTGAATTTACTTTGTTGACTAATTCTTCAATTTTTTTTTTACAATTGTAGGGTAAGAATACACCATTGCCAAATGGAAAGGCTGTTATGTGTGCTTACAAATTATGTAGAGTTGAGTTCAAATATTGGGGTATGCAGTCAAAAGCAGAGAAATTCATTCATGATATTGGTAAGTTATAGTACCATGTTACTATCTAGTATAATGTTATCAAAGAAGAAAAACTTCTGTTTTAATTTAGTTGAAACTTTGAGAAATTAAACTAGGTACTGTTAAACATAGGGATGGTATACCGCAATTATAAAAAACTTATTTTTGTTTTTCCCCCATTTCTCCAAACCATGAAACTTTAAAGTTTTATAATTATTTGTTAAATCCTTCAAATTGTATTTAAACCAATTAAAAATATTTGTAAGTAAGTATCAGGGGGCCAGAGAAGGGTAATTTTCTCATAATTCTAATTGCAAGAGATGAGACCAGATTGAATTATTAATAAAGAATTTTAGATTTTAAGTGACTTTTACTGAATGAAAAGTCTTTGAGGGGAATTTTACCCCTCAGTCTCTAGGAATTCAATTAAATTTGAAGCTGTCTTTGAAATCTGTCTGAAGCTTATCCATCCTCGTGATACTAAATTCCGAAGGATACTGGAGGCTGAAAAATTTAAGATAAAATCATTATAAAGTCAAAGAGCTATTTTTAAAAATGTTGGTCACCAATTTTTCTGTGATGATTAGTGTATTGGGCAAAAAAATACAAGTAATTTACAATCATAAAGTCTGGTAGTTTCCCAGCTGACTTTGAGGAGCAAAAATTTGGATACAAAGTAGGGTCAATGTGCCTACCAAAGAGAGTATTATTCTACAGAAAAATGCAAAAAAACTTGCATTTGTTTGATTTTGAAATAAATTCAATTCAATTTCATCATTCTCCTTTCTTTATTTAGCTTTGCGGAAAACGATGGTTAGAGCTCACATTCAAGCCTGGGCGTGGATGGATGAGTGGTGGGGTCTCACGATGGAAGACATACGGAAAATCGAGCAAGAGACGCAAGAGGCCCTCCGAATGACAATGGGTAAGTGTAAATACAGTAAAAGACAGGCCCTCATCAAAATATGCATTTTGAGGAAAACAATTTAAAATGTTGTGTCCTCATAAATTACTCTGAACAATCGAACTGAAGCATTCCAACAGCCATGAAACTCTTAAGGTTCTGTGTGAGGATTCTAACAGGAAGTTATAGGAAATCTAATTTATAAGTTTGTTCCTTCCTTTGTAATTGAAGTGAAATCTTTGAAAAATTGTCAACCTATGTAAGATGTGTTAACTACGTCTGTGTGTTCTCTCAGGTGGTGATAGTAATCAGGACATTTCAGAGGATGAAGATGGTGAGACTGCAAAAACCATTACAGCCAAATCGTCCTCGACAGCTTTAAGTAGTACGGATCAAACTGAACAGGGTAATGTAACTTCAGAAAGTGTGAAGAGGCCACCATCGCACCCTACTACCTTAATGCCGAGCTCACATGAACATGCAGAATCTAGTACAAAGTAAGTACTGTGTTTGCCGTTTGCTTACAGCACAGAAATAAAAATGTCGTTCTAAATTCAAATTAAAGCTTTCTCTCCACGCACTAGTGTGGCCAAACAGTGAGATGATAACTAAGTTTATGGTTAAAAATTGCATAGGTAAAGTTCTAAGAATAAACCCTTAACACAACCGTAGTTTCATGTAATTCTAGAGGATATTTACTGATATTTACCACAACATATAAAAATGTTGCAAATTTTTTTATTACAGTCACTCTTAAATACTCAGGTGTAAAGGTGTACTCTCTTGAGGAAATTTACTTTTGTATCATTTCAAGTTTACTGCAAGTTTGTTACTTTGATCTGAATGTTATATTTATTATATTCCATTTTTTTCAGGCCTTCTGATAGCCAAAAGAAGTGGCGGCACGACTCCAAACCGCAACTTCACTCCCCCAATCAAAACTATGAAGCTCTTGCCTCTAGTTGGAGAATGGATAGTATTGTAGGTGATTCAGACTCAGGTCAGAGTGAAGATGATGATGAATTTTTCGACTGTCAAGGTATCAGTTGTTATTTATTCTTTTATCTTTCTCCTGTAATGATCTTAGGTTTGAAGCACTTGCTCATGTGAACTTGTAATTCACCTCCATTAGGAGAAAAAATTACCATAATACATCAAACGCAGATTACCAATTTTTATTGTGTACTTAACCAAATTTTATTTAAAATTATTGTAATCCACTACAAGAACCTTATGCCATGTGTCCATCTACATCAATTAAATTGTCAAAGGTATTAAGAAACAATCAATAACTACATATTACAGGTAACATCAAATATTACAGATTATCTAGAGAATCAGGAGTTTTAGAATTCTCTGTCTTGGAACTTTCTGTCTTTGTAAGAAAACCTTTAATGTTTAAATTATTCCTCCAAGGCATTTTGATCTTTGCGCAAAACAAGGTATGAAAATATACCAGATTTTTTCGACTTGTAGACATGAAGAGGAATTCATTCAAATGTTCTTTAAAATGGAATATATTTTATTTTGTATTAAAACTGACCTGTTCTTTTGAAAAGATTGGAATAACAAATGAAAGGGAAAAAAATTTACAGAAATACCAAACTTAAAAAATGCTAAAATATCTATAAATAATGATGGTATTTGAAAAAAATCAACCGTACAACATTTTGCTGTCAGCTGGAGTATGTAACATCTCTCTTACTTAACGTAAAAGTTTACCACAATATAATGGGGAAAAAAATATTAGAATCATCTTTTTAGTCTGAGGTTGATGCATCTATCCCTTTACCATTGTAACTTATAAGGAAGTTTTCAAGTTAGTCAAATATTCATCTGAGCATCAACCAGAAACATAAGGAAAGCACCCTCTCTTGAAGGTTTTAAATTTGAACAGCAGGATCTTATTATTGTCATCGGTATATCATTCAGAAACATCAACTTGCCGATTCATGAAATTAAATCAATGTCAATAAATTGGACACGTATTCCATTTTATATGCAGTTTTTGCTTTTTTAGGCTAAATGTCGAAAGAGAATGTTAAGTCATGCCACTTGGTTTTCTGTGGAACCTTTTATTCGATACAAAACTGTATACAAGCTAAATTGAAGAGAGGTTTATTTTGTTTTTTGTAACAGAAAACGCGGAAGATTCGTCGTCATTAGCAAAATGGAGTTCGATGGAACTCCTGAATGAAGATGAAGCAGATCCTTCTCCTTTGCCAGCAGATAAACAAGGTACGTCATCAGAATGGTATGATTTATTTCTTTAAAATCATATTGTAAAAAAAATCAAGCATTTTTCCTCTCATAATTGAATCGGGACGTGCAAAAACAGCTAATGTCAATTTTTCCAGTCTTCAGTTTTTTTGAGTTGATAATACTTTTTGGAGTTGGATGCAACCACAAAAGTGACGTTAATACTCGTCTCCGGGTTAACTTAGTCCCAAAACGAGTCCTTTCGTCACTTATATGGTTGTGTCAACTTTTTTAAAGTATTATCAACTCAAAAAACTGAGGACTGGAAAAATGGACATTAGCGGTTTTCGCATGTCCGGATTCAATTGTCTTTAAACTTTTTTGCTTCCCGCGGAAAGTCAGTACAAAAAATTTAATCATCTTGGATTATTCTCGAGGTCATTGTTTGAATGAATCCTGTTTAATTGCCAAATCAAAATTGTTTGAAAAGCTTTCGTAAAAACCAGTTGAAGAAAGAAAAAGACACACTCACTAATTCATGAAAAATTCAACTGCATTATCATTTTGACCTGAAAATATCCACCATCGTGCCTTGAATATTATCTGGAAAGTAAAATGTTTACCTTCTGGGATACAACACTTGTACAGCACTAATTAATTTTCTATTTCAATAAACTAACTCTAAATAATTCTTGTCCCCTTTTTTCAGATGATAGTATATTTTCTCAAACATTCTTAAAACGAGCTGCCAGTGAACGAGGGCGGAGTGTTGATGTGTCGTGTCCTGATTCGCCTCTCCCTGCAGGACACGTACAGACGTGTAAATACAACACGCTACTCCTCGTTTTACATGCCGGTAGCGTTTTAGGTAAGTTCAGATTTGTTCATTGCAAACGAGGAACTACTTTTTTACTTCCCTTCACTCTCAATGCAAAATCTGGAATATCAGAGTTTCAAAATTCATTATTGAAAAAAACGGTCGTCTCCACATGATACACTCTAAAACTATTGTAGAGATTAATTTCTTGCATATTTTTAATTTCTTTGCTCATGCCTTAGATTTATCTACAAATGAATCCGTAAGAGGATAGTATGCCTCTTTCACCATAAATTTCAAGACTACTTTTACACCAGATATTTGATTAGCTTTTACCAAATTGCTCTATTTATTTCATCATGTTTAGTGACTAAAGAGTGTCCAAGTAACATTTTCTCGAATGACCTGCAGATTATGTGGACTTTTCTTCGTCAAAACTGGCGGACAGCCAATTTACTCAATACCTTTATTATTTAGCAATTTTTTACTTCATTTTATCTATATTCTTTATATTTTTTTGCAGATGCGAATATTGATACTGCTGCCAAAAAATCTGATGTCTTAACATTCCGGGGAGCATTTGAATCTGTGATGCGTCAACACTATCCATCCATGCTTGGTCGAATAGCCATTAAATTAGTCTCTTGCCCATCAATATGTACTGATAGTTTAAGTATTCTTTCAAGGTATGTATGAAATTTACTCTTAACAATAAATTATCATATATCCGTCCAAACCCTGAACTCCTTGTAAAAAGTGAGCCAATTCTAAACTGTCAAATTCAGTCCATCTCTTAATTCAAAAAATAGGATAAATTTTAGGGGTCCAGGAAGCTGCGTTTTTCAAAGCGGTGGCAAATTTCATTGAACACTGGGAAATACATGAAAAATACATTCATTAAATTTTCCCCCTCTTCCCTTAAATTTTAAGAATGAATTTTTATCGAGATGCCAGCAGATCTAAGATTTTTTTTTTTAAATATGTCATCGGTTTTGCTTTAATGATCAAGGAATGATGAATAATAAAAATATGAATGTAAAAAATATAATAAAAAATAAAAAAAATATGATGGAATTGAGGTTAGGAGACAAGAGACGGCGCTAAATAACGTAAATAATGCGGAACGGCCGCAAGCGCATGCGCAAAGAACCGGTTCACGCTATCCATCAATCATCAGCATTTGGCATTGATTGCGAAAGAGCGCTAAAATTTGAATTACGGCGTTCGTTACCGCGAAATCTTTGCTTCGCTTTTTCCGACCTTTCGATTCGTTTTGCAAAGCAAAGCAAGTGCGAAGCTTCGCAGACCCCTAATAAATTTACTCCTGTTTTGGAATTTACTGAAGCTTATGATATTGTCCATAAGGAAAGTGAAAAAGTCTATGTGAAAAGAAACTCCAAAGATATATCGTCTGAACCTTTCTGACGAGTGTCAACAAGCAATTTAACACACAAAATTGTTAGAGCAAATCAAAGTAGTGTTTTAAATATTCCACTTCAAAAACTGTAGATTTACATGAAAGCTGTTTCAAGTGTTAATCTGCCGTTTTTAAAGTGTGTCACATACAGCAAGTATCATTCGATGAACTTGCAGTTTGGCACTAACTTCTAACGAAGAAAAGTTCAAGCCAGAGTATTTTTGACCTATTTTCTTTACTACTTTTAATCTAAAAAGATTTTAGTCAATGATAATTTGTTAATAAATTGTTTATATTTTCTTCAATCCTCATTTACATTTTGTATTTGCCATAAGTAAGTCTGATTCAGCCTTTCTTTCTTTTCCAGTTTAAATCCTTACAGTTTTGATGTTTCGCCATCTTGTTCGGATGCACCTCATGTGACACACGATTCAATTCCAATCGGTGCCGTTCCTGTCTTAGCTAGTTCTGCAAATGGATACAAGGAAACAATTAATAAAGTGATAGCCGCTGCCAATAAAGTGTACGCTGACTTTATCAAATCTCCAGAAGGGCAGGGTTTCAATGGACAAATTTGTTTCATAGGTAAGTAATAGCCCCCGGTTAATTTTATGGCTTCAATTTTAATATTTTAAAATTATTTCCTGGGTTAATGAAAGAAATAATTATTTTAAAACCTTTTATCTGTATTATCTATAACTAGCATCACCTGGAATTTAATTAAGCTTATAATCCCTCTTTTATTTTTTGGAGGCTCCTTTTTCAAGATGGATTTTTCTTTTACTAATGACTGAATTTCAATTTATTTTCCTCCGTTCTTTTTTGAAACTTCATTAATATGTTTTAAGTTATGAGTTAATTTGAGTGGAAATAAACATTTTTACTTATAAATATGTTCTTTTATTTTGCTCTTGTTTTGTTTTAAGTGAGGAAACTTTGAAAACGTATAAATTTAGCTAATCCAATGCATTTCCAGAAAATTTGATGAAAACTGAAAACAAATTTAGAATATTTATTTTCTTTATATAATCATTTTTTTAAAATTATCATCTTTCTAATATTCTACACATCTAAAGTTTCTGTTTAAGAATGTTTTGAAACCAACAAACCAAAGTTTAAAAAAAAATTAGAACCTGAAATGTACCTCCAGTCTAGTCTGAATCAGTCTTTTTAAGATTCAGGTGGGTTTACAGAATTGGCTGTCACCCTCTCAAGTAGAGTGTTGCAGCGAAATAATCTGGCTCATTTTCATTGTTAAATCGTTTAGTTATTTAATCATAATTTTTGAATCTCCATTTAATTCCTAAAGTCTAGTTTTAATGTATCCACAGGTGACTCAATGGGTTCAATTTTAGGATATGATGCTTTATGCCGTTCGGGTAAAGCTGATGATGACAATCTAGAGTCTGAAACAGTAACAACAGGTAATTTTATCACCTAATTTATTTTACTCAGATGTCCTAAAGTTCTCTTTAAACTGCTTCAATCTTTCAGTTTTGATAATTTTATATCAGTCTGTTCTACAAAATGCTGAATCTAGCGGCAACTTTTAATGAAAAAAGATTCAGTGTAGAGTGTTTGACCATAAAACCTAATATCGCACTTTCTACTTCTTAGGACTACGTTTTAAGTGAATTTTTAATCAATTTATATAGTTTCATGCCCTCTAAAGCCTCTAAATTTCTATCCAAGTAGTAATGAACTGAATAATTATTACTTATCTTGCCACTGTCTTCTGTCTCAAGGTGTGCGGAAAAATAATCTTTCATTTAAGATGAGAGAAAGTGGCACATTTTATCCATCAATCCCTCCAGAAAGCACCAATATTGTACCTATACTTATCTAGATAGATTTGTTAGTAATGATTTGATTTGTTCGTAATGAGTAACTTTATTTTATGTCTTTGCAGAGGAAGCCATCAGGCACTTAGATTCTACCAAATTACACGTTTCAGCGCCTTCCAGAAGATCATCAGCTGGGTAATTATTCCTATCATTGTCTTATTTAACTTCGTTTTTACTTGATTTCTAGTATTTTTTCTTCCTCTAAAAATGCCTTCAAAGAAAAAAATTACCTGCCTAAAGAGCAGAAAGCTTTGCGCTGAGGCCCGAAGAACATCATCTCAAAAAATATCAAAATTTAGCCGGCGCCAAATTTCTCAGTATTGTGTGCATAGTCTTTTAAATGTAGATGAAGTATTCCTACAAATAAAAGTGAATTAATTTAATATCTAATTTTTCTTTTCTGTTTGATATTTCAGTGAACATGGCGGACAAAACAGACTTGATTTTGAAGTGAACGAGCTTTTCATGTTTGGTTCTCCTCTATCACTTGTTTTAGCTTATCGAAAAATTTCTGAACCTGATGGGAAATCCAGTAAGTAAAAATGTTCCTCACACTACCCAGTAAATATTATTAAAAACTGTAGTGTTGAAAGCCTTTTTTTTTATTTGTTCAAAGTCATCATTTATGGGTAAAGCCTATTTACCGAAACAAAATATTACTTTTGAAAACAAAATTTAACCAGAAAAACGAATAACTTTTTCCCCCTTTGTTTTACAAAAGTAATGTATCAATGACAAAATAATATGTATGTAGTCTCAAATCTAAATTCATCTCACTTCTTAATATGATTTTTACGTGCCGTTTATTTTATATTTGATCAATAGTTTATCTGAAATTTATCATCCTAATAAAATTTTGTAACATGTAAGTCTTAACTGATTTTCAATTCCATTTTATCAGTAAACTTGCATGTAAAACAAAGTCCAACTTAGCCCTTTCATTAGCCCACATATGAGAATTGTACTCACCAAAATTCACTCAAAACAGAAAAATAAAACTTTGACCTTTAATAATTTTGCTTTTCCAAGTGCGTCTTGCATGTTGTTTCGATAAATTTTTTTCATTATAATGTTCCACTCTTATACCAGTTTTAATCATCGAGCATTTTTTTCATTTCAGATCCAATCATGAGACCAGGTGTATCACAAGTGTACAACTTGTTTCATCCGACTGATCCCGTTGCTGCTCGGCTAGAACCACTCTTATCTGCAAGGTTCTCAATGGTCCCTCCAGTTAATATCCCGCGTTATCAAAAATATCCTCTAGGAGATGGTCAGCCATACCATTTGCGTAAGTATTCTTCATTCTTTTACATTTGTCATTTTTCTGTGGGGAACAGCCGTGAAGAGTCAACATGTATGACTGTCAAAAGACTCAAAATAGACAAAAGACTCGAAATAGACAAAAGACTCAACGACACTAGTGCCAAACAACTCATAATTGAGGTATTTGTATTACTACTCAGAAGAGCATTTCATAAAAATGTTGGCATAAAAACACCTGAAAATGTCAAACCTAACCAAAGTTATGATGGTTTGAAGTTCGCAATCCAAAGAATATTGTTCCAAAAAGAGACATATAGGTAAAGTTTGCCAGGTTTGAAGTTCATTGATTTTGGATTGAAATGCTACTGTATACCCTGTCTAGATCAAAGAAACTGCTAGAGACTGCCCAAAACTTGTGCTGACAGCAATCATACAACATAAGTTTTCAAATGAAAAAGAAATTCGTAGACATGTCTTCGCTAATGTAACTTGCAAAGTAGATACGTATATTTTGGATCGATTTGTCAATGCTTTTTTGTTTATCGGTACCATTTGCTCCTCCGCCTCAACATAATATTCTGTTAGTTTTTTAGGAAGATTTTCTATCTGCTCAAAAATATATGTGTCATCATTCTTAAGCTTTTTAATGTAAACGTGGAAAGTATTACTTGTCTCTCATTACCCAATTTAGAGTTAGATATATATACGTTGATTGGTATTGTAATTTATGCTGTCAGATTATTTGCTCAACTTTATCACTGCATTTACATTTTAGCGCAGATTTGCTGTATTTTTATACCTACACATTACTAATGTCTCCAAAGTCAGATTGTAGATCTCATGTTTTTTTAGTTACATTGTAACAGTCCATTATAAGACTCAAAAGCATTTTTTGTTCTAAATTTTGATAGGTTGTACCTCTTTTTTTCATGATTATGATTTCTGTGATTGTTTTTATTTTTTTTTCTTTGTAGTGGAGGTTGTCCTTGCCAATCCTCAGATATTTTCGGAAAATCTCACTGTAGCCACAACATTCCATGCCCGTAGATTATCCGAAGCCAGTATTGTAAGCAATGTCTCTGGCGTAATGGACACCTTACCCATCTGTACAATTAATCATTGTGAGTATGACGAAAAAATGTTATTCGAAGTATCAGTGCCTAGCGTAGCTCTGTACTCACAAAACTTGTCAAGCATTTAGCATTCTTTCATGTTAAATCGCTTTCAAAGTATTGCACTTGTATGCTCCCTAGTCAAATAATAAATTAAGATCACCGGTTAGAAACTTACTTAGACCCATCTTATGGCAGTTTTAGCTATGATTCTGAATATTTTTTACGGACAAATTCTTCTCATCTCTCCTTTTGGGAAATGTTACTAATGCTCAGTATCAAAGCCTTTATCTAAAGACATAAATAATTATTTTAATGAGTGGTGTACAAAAATAATCCTTTCAAGAAGAGCTTGATATCACTTGATTTTTACGGCACTGCTGCCATTCACAGTAATAAAACTGTAACTCCATTCTGAATTTTTTAATTTTTATTCTGTCTAAACACTCAATTGAAAGACGCTTTTATCCTCTATATTTTCAGAATGATCAGGTTATACTAATAGGAACTCAAATTGAAATAATTATGCTAGAAAATAATCAAGCAGCACAGTAATAGAGAATTTTGTTAGAGTACATATTGCAAAGGTTGCGAATGGAGTTACGGCGTCCTCACCGTGTCCGGCAGATTATTGCATCTATTTTTAAGTTTTCTGTACCTGTTCTTTGCTTTCATCAACTAATTTTTACTCCAATAATTTTTCGAACCAGTGGTCCAAAAGTGGTGGGGTGTGAAACGACTGGATTTTGCTCTCTACTGTCCGGAAGGACTCTCTAATTTCCCAACGAATGCACTTCCGCACTTATTCCACGCAAGTTATTGGGAATCATCCGATGTGATAGCTTTTATTTTAAGACAGGTAAGGATAATCTGCATTATTTTGCCAGTTTTAGCAGGGTGTAATAGAGACAGCAACCGAGAAAAAAAATTGTTTTTACTATTTGAAGCCAAAAGGAAAGTTTAACAAAACAATAGCGCCAATTCCACAAAATGATCATGAATGAAAGTGTGAATGAATCAGTCACGCTAGTCACAGAATTGTATTTTGATGCTTGATTCTTGTAGATTAGCCATAAACAATAAGATCAGTTCTCACTGTAACTTTTTAGGTTTAATATAAACAGAGATATGTTGCTTTGAAAAATTCAGTTTATGACGTCATCAACCGCGGAAGTGACATTCATGGTTTCTTCTACCTTGGTTTCATCCAAATTTCACCTTGAGTAACCAGTGCAAATGTGTATCTTTCCGATTTATGAAAGCAAGATGGAAAAAATTGAGGGTGTCACTGTTGCGGTTGGGGTGACGTCATGAACTGGATTTTTTCAAAGCGCAATATCTCCATTGATATTGAGCATAGAAAGTTGCTGTTTGGATGGTTCTTATTATTTCTAGCTAATCTACAAGAATCAAGTATCAAAACACGATTCTGTCTCCAACGCAACTGACTCATTAGGGGCATGTTGTATTTTGTTATGCTGCATTTCTAGTGATGCGAGAATGTAACTAAGTGCTCAACCTGAAATGATTAAAAAATAACAACACTAAGAAAAATTGAAAATCAGGATCGTCCAAAAAGAGATAATAAAACAGCAGGTACACTTATAAATGAAATAGACAAAAGTAATATTCTAATAACAGCTCCTTTGCTGTTTTTTGTCTTTGTTTTCCGGAAAGTTCTCTAATTAATAAATTTTCTTGATATCTCTGCAGTCTCCTGCCTTAGGTTTAGAAATAATTTTTCCTTGTTTATTTAATGTTCTCTGTACACGAAGAAAAGAAAGTTTACCTACAATAACATTCAATTTATTGATTTGTTTTGATTTCCTAATTTTTTTCTCGAAGGTTTCTAACTTTTTCTTCTCTTTGCAGCTTGGTCGCTTTGATTTTGCTATGAGTATGAACAATGATGAAAAAGAAATGAGTGGATTCAGCCCTGCTCAACCACGAGAAAAATGGATAAGGAAAAGAACATCTGTCAAGTTAAAGGTACATTTTTTTATTGCAAGAAAACTCTTACCACTCATTATGATTTCCATTTTGAAAAATTCGCTTTTTCCTGAAGTATTGCTTTAGTGTCATGACTGCTTTTGCTTTTTTAAGTTAGAGAAACATTCGAGCCTCAAAGGGCTCTTTCCTTACACCCTCAATGTACTTATTTACATTAATAATTAGTAAAAGTCTTGCATTTTTTTGATATTATGACTTATCAAAATTTTGCAAATTGGATGGCCTGCTCAGATAGACAAAGATAGCATTTTTGTGTATTTTCCGAAGGAAATACCGTATTTTTTACTTTATGTTCTCTCTCAAGGCCAAAAATAAGTTTTGATAGATGTTTTCCACAAAACTTGTTTTTATCAAGTTTATTGTTTATGTTCTTTATCAAACTTTGGTGAAAGAAATGAAGAGAAACGTTGAGAGCAGCGATGATTAAATCAGAATTTTTTTTTTTTTTTTTTGAGTATAAAAAAATAAATCACATTTATCATCTCACCCAATATCATCTAACAACAATTAATTGATATTAAAAATAATTTGTGTCAAGCAGAATGTGACGTGCAATCATCGTGCGAATGATGTGATCGTCAAGGAAGGCGCCACTCAAACTCTGATCGCAAGATTCATGTATGGACCCTTAGATATGATTACTCTTACGGGTAAGATAATTTATTTAAACAAAAAACCTCATGATCTGATGTGATACGAGATTTGTAATTTTGTTATTCCACTGCCCTTGGAAGAAATGGTATCTCCATCATTGCATTAACCCTGAAGAACATAGGTAATTATTCAAATTAATTGTAAAATCAATTTTGCACTTGAATTACAAGCTGTTATACTCAGACCATGTGTTGTATGATCCCTTGTCTGATTATGTTCACAAATACATAATTCAAATTATTAAATTCAATGTGAGAGATTATTTTCTATCTCTAATGAACTACTCCTTGGAAGAATGGCTGATCGTAAAATATCATAGAGGATATAAAAAGGTGCTAGGTAATCAGTGCCAAGACAAAAATTGAGATGAGCTGAAAGTGTTGAAAAGAGCCATGATGAAGAAAGAAGATTAAGGAGTAGCAAGAAATTGCTTCGAAGGTCAAAGCGAATCACAGATTGTAGTGGCACTCGAGAGTTAGAATGAGCTTCTCTAACTGCAATCTATTTTTTTGTTGTATTCATGAAGCTCATCATCTTGCATTATGTTTTAAAGGTGAAAAAGTAGATGTCCATGTGATGAAAGACGTTCCTGGTGGAGAGTGGGAGTTGATGTCAACTGAAGTCACGGATAAAACTGGACGCATCACGTACACAATTCCTGAAAATAAAGCTCTCGGATTTGGTATCCATCCTGTAAAAATGGTTGTCAGGTATGTCACTTTTTTCACGCTGAGCATTTTTATTTTCATTTCGTTCACACTGGATGGATATCAAAGTTTTGATTTCGAATAAAATAAAAACCAGACTGACTTTAGAATTTGGGCTGCGTATCATTTTTCAGGATTGAAATATTACAGAATAATATATCTTCGAAGTCCCTTCTGAAGACTATGAAAAAATTTAGTTCTGTTTTGTTTTTTGTAATATTCTAATATATTGTAATAATTCTTGAATCTTATTTTCTATAAACTTGAACATGTTTTCTTTGATTTTTCAGAGGAGACCACACATCTGTAGATTTTTATCTGGCCGTTGTTCCTCCGAAGACAGAGTGCGTAGTATTCAGTATTGACGGTTCTTTCACTGCCAGCGTATCGGTAACTGGACGAGATCCAAAAGTCAGAGCAGGGGCCGTCGATATTGTGAGGTATGCTTTCTTTTATTTTTTTCCGTTACTGAATTAATTGGAATGTTATTAATTCTTTCTGGGCAAGTAGGTAGAAAAACATACATATTATTTGAGAGACCTGTCCATATTTCAAGTTTTGCTTGAAGTCATTGCATCAGTGAGGGATTTGTTTTTTTGTTAATCTACAATTTTGAGTTAAAATTTTGTAAGGGATAGGAACTAGTCTCATCTAAGATCAATTATTTAGTAACAAGGTGATAAAATAGTGCTGGGTCTACACTATCCTGAATTTTTATAAATTCTGTTCAAATTTCAAGCTATGAAAAAGTCTAGAATGCATTATTTAATATTCTAAATAAATTATGTATGTAATGTAAAAAATGTATTGATCCTGGCTTGCCTTTCATTTATCCTCTTATTTTTTTGTGTGACTAATGCTATTTTTAAATTTTCCATCTTCTCAGGCATTGGCAAGAATTAGGTTATTTAATAATTTATATCACTGGGCGACCAGATATGCAACAAACACGGGTTCTTTCATGGCTGTCGCAACACAATTTCCCGCAAGGTCTTGTCTCATTTGCGGATGGTCTCTCCACAGATCCTCTCGGCCACAAAACTGCCTACCTCAAAAATCTAATCCAGGTATCTAATATTTTTTTTTTCTTTTAATTCTCAACTTTGGTGAGCATCTATTAATACATGACTGTTGTGGATAGAGGCCATTCTCTCAGGAGAGAGATTTTTCCAAGTTGAATTTGGAAAGCTGGATTCAAGGTCTTTCCAAAAACTATCTCTAGGATCCTCAGAAACGAGTTTTTAACTGCTTGGTTCATTCCCTACAATTCTGTGCTGTCGTACATTTTAAGTAACAAGCAATATAATTGTAATTTTACTTCTGTTTCCAGGAGCATAACATGATTATTCATGCTGCGTATGGAAGTAGCAAAGATATAACAGTCTATACGAACATAGGTCTGAAACCTCGGCAAATCTACATAGTCGGCCGTGTGAGCAAAAAACATCATTCTCTAGCTACTGTTCTAAGTGAAGGGTATGCAGTACACTTGTCAACGTTGCTGTGCCACGGTGGCTCACGACCTGCACAGGGCAACGCTCGCATGGTCCTCTCTCCAAGGGGTTGTTTCGCTCACAACTCGTCGCTGCGGAGAAGAAGGCAAGTTTGTTTTCACATTCTGTTTTTTTCCCATTTTCTTAAGTGGACGAATGAATTTGTAGATCGTACATCTGTTTGTTCATAGCCTTAGAATTAGAGCCACTCAGTGCGGGAATAAAAATGATGTGATCTGCAAATAAATATTTGAAGTCATTTTCTTAAAATATCAAAAAAGTCACAGATGTTATTTTGAGACAATATTTTTGGTTTTTCTTTCTTGATAGAATCTAAAATGCATGTCCGAAAGAAATATACAAGTCAAGCTGGCCCAAAAATTTTAGCTCGGGACCAACATAAATCTTTTGCTAAAGGATCCTAATTTTATTTTCGTTCTTTTTACTTCGTCTTTAAAATACTTTAAAATCTCTGCAAGAAATCGTCAACTTTTAACTTCTTTGACAATCTTGGAAGATCTATTCTGGAATCTATTTTCAAAATTTTATTACTTGGAAATTCTAAGAACTTTGATCAAAAACTTGAGCCCTTTTTAACCACCAGAATCTGCTCAAAAATTAAATGTTTGATGAAAGGTTGCTTCTCTCACATTGCATTGCGAATAAGTCTCTATAGGTATGTCGTTTTAAAGTGTAATTTGATTCTTAGTAAAAGTAGTTTTAGAAGTTTTTAATCAGAATGATTCCGTCCAAAAGCCCTTATGTAAAGTATAGAAGAAAAAACATAAGAAACTTTTTAAATGTTGATATTACGTTATGGGCTGCTCTTAAAATATGTAACGGTCTAGGAGAGCATAACGCCATTTTGTTTTTACATGTTAAATGAAAGGGACTTGCATCACAAAAGTATTACAAGCAGGGGAAGGGGGTTGAAAAATCCAAAATTTGGCATTACATATTTTATGAATGACCCTCGATCACATTTTTGCACTGAGTGGCTGGAACAAGGAAGGGTGATAGAATCATTGCATTCTGAAAGTAGTTCTGTCTCTAGGATGTGATTCTATGTAGGACGTCAGCAAAATTTGCAGACATTCTGATCACTATTTAGTTTTTTTCTAGTTCAGAAATTTAAAGTCAGTAAATAAAACTAAGGTAGTTTGAGTGGTCTTTTTTTAGAAGTTTCAAAATTGCATGGATTGGAATTAGAAATTCAAGTCTAATTGATCTTATAAAAATTCACTCATTTTGGTTTCATAGTCAGATACGTATTCCTCTTCGTCCTAATTTATAAATTGACGTAAGTAAAAGAGATTTGCCTCTTGATGGTGAATTTAGTGGTTTTACCAACAACATGAAGCTATTTTGACTATTAACCAGGATTCATAATGATTAGTTACAAAGTAAATTATGTGTGGCGCAAGTTGTGTGAGGAATTTTTCTCCGCAGGAAATAAAGAGCTAATAAGAAAGATGATGACAATATGACACCAGTTACGGTGTATCAATCTCATGAAAATCATCATTAGCGGAATTATTATTGTTCCATTTGTCACAGACGTATAATATTTCATTATATCTTTACATTATCCAGGTGAATTGCGTAACTAGTAAGAGCCCGTCATTTCACTCCACCCATAAAGAGTTACAGGCATTTCTGTACATAGCTTACTATATCTCCCTAGTTAATCATTAATTAATGTAAGTACTGATTCTGTCAATCACTTTGACCTGCACTCGATTCCAGTCCCCGAACCCTTACCCTCTCAGCTTGAACTACCACTATCCTGCAATTTTCAAACTAAAATTCAAATTCTGCACTAATTTTATGCATGTTGGTAAGTTATAATCTGGTTCCTCGCTGCATGGAAGTTTTGATGCTCATATATTTTTTGGTAGACATTCACAGGAGACTGGATCTTCTTATCCATAAGCAACTCTTTGTAACAGATATTTAATGTACATTTATGTCAAGACCAGAGGTTTAATGGTTTGAAGTTTAAAAATTACAAAATATACTTTGGTAGCTGAAGAAAAAAAACTGTTTTCAATTTAATCTGCAATGTTCAGAGCTCAAGTTGTTGACTTCAAATGTAATTTTGTGCCTCCTGTGGCATGGCAACGAGCTGAACTGTTGGTAGTTTATTTATTAAGACACCAAAGAAAGTTTACCGTCAAAAACTCAAATTTAAAATTCTTAACTCTAGCAGACAATTCATTCTCTTGAGACTTTATTCTCTGTGCACCAAGGTCCCTTTTTCTGTCATCAGTCTTTCATGCATGGGTGACAATTACTGTGCCAATTTTAATTTTTAAAAAAGCGTGATGATTAAATGGCAACCGCAATAGAAAAAATGGGGAATATTGCTCCCCTTAAAAAATAATCACCCCTCGTTAATGGAAAAATGGAAGTCTTAACTTTGATTATGATTTTTTGAAAAGTTACAATTTTTACACCAATAAGGCCTAAAAACAGGGGGAAAAATTCTGACTTGGCAAAACTTCCCACGCTGCAACAATGCTCTCAAGTGTTGAGCAATATTCTCAGATAATGTTTTACCATGTTGCAATAACTTAATTTATGACACCTCTGGATTAAAGTCAAAGAATATCGGGGCATTGTTGTGAGAGTGGAGTGTGGGAATCATTCTGACCAGTTTTAATTGGCTCTACTCCTTCCTACTAGTGCTCCTAACACAATAACACACTCAAACACAGTTTTTCTCTCATAATTGGACTGTATTTTGCAATTTGGAACTACAATTTCCGGCCCAGTTTAGAAACGATGTATGTACCATTAGTTTCTTTATTCCTATAAGTGCTTTCATGGATGGGCTAGAAATTGTAGTTCCTAGTAGCAAAATGTAGTTCAATTCAAGATTGCCCACGAGAAAAGAGACCTCAGCACGGGGAGGTAAATTTTTCTTTAGAGAGCAATTTCTGTTCAGTGAATAAAAAAGGCAACGCTTTAGTTTTCTCAGAGAAACATTTCCTAGCATCCGCAAGACTACAACACAAACCTCGCAATTTTTAATAATTATAATTATTGGTTTAGAGGTCTCTTTTGCTATGTGCAGTCCTTTTTATTTTTCATCCGAACTCTTGACTTTACTCTCAAGTTGCAAAGAGTTTCATTTGATACAGTATTTTACATATTTTATCTTATATTTTATGAGCTCTGTGAGCATGAGGTTTCACTGTGTTTTATTGAGCTCCAATGGAGCGTATTAATTGAACTTCATTTTTGAAACAGTGTGATTGATCTATCAAAATAATCCTCTCTTTATCTAACTAATAGCGTCATTGTTTTTCTAAAGCTTAAGACAAATATGTATCTGTCTACCCAAGCATTTGGGTTAGCACTTGTATTTTTATGGGGTATAAAATGCGGAGAACAAAAAATGGATAATGAAACAACATATCAAACTTGTCAGTTGCTGAGTCTGTATTGTAAAGTTATTTTAAGTCAAATATCGACTGTGAAACTGAAGAAACATCGTTTCATCAATAGAAAACAAACCAGCGCCCTTGCTTGAAATTTTCTCAGAGTTATCCTCACATGAAGAAAAAAAATTAAACAAGAAATGACTAAGTATTTCTCATTCAAAAAGTAAAAGATCACAGGAAGTCTGCAATGCTGCAAACCGAGTTATGCGTTTTTGCAGTTTCTTTGTTAATGTGTCACATGCACCAGATTTTGCTAGCTTCTTCGTCGCAGAATTTTGCCTCAATTCGTGCAATTGGATTTGTAACAAATTCATTAAGGTTCAAAATACAGCTGTACCGTAAAAAAATGAGTCGTACATGGGTGCTTAGATCAACCTGCTTAAGGCAACTACCGAAAGGGCTTTACATGAGAAACGATCGGTAAGAATTTTCCCGGTTTGTTTGATTTAATTTTATTCAATAGCTGCAAATGTTCCCTCCTCACCCATTTTATGTTAATTTTTCATTATTATTTTTTCCAGGTCAGCCAAAAGAACAACATCCTTCCCCCTTAGCAGTGGAAATCCTGCCACTTCAGTTTTAAATATTACAACAGTTCCGGAGCGTCGATCAGACAAGCTCTGACGATGGTCACTTTTTTGTGTCAATAAGAAAATAAACGAGGAAAATTGAGGTAAGAACCCCTCACTTCAGCAAAAGCTGGTAGTTTTTAAATAAACTGTTCTCATTGGTAAAAGCTCATAAATATGTATCTCAGACGACTATATTGCCCATTTCCTCAAATATTTTATTTTTTCAAAGAAACTGATTAAGTTTTTCCTCGAAGTTTTCTCTGATTTCTCTCTCATATTTTATTGAATATTCTACATGCATTTTAAAGAAAAAAAAATCGATTGTTTTTCTCTGGGAAAATAAAATAAGACGTATTATTACAGAAGTGACATGCCAATGGTAAAATGGACCTCTAGAGACAAGGTTCGAATTTAAGTATTCTTACGTAGGTATGTTTCTCCCTCAAAATTTCATGTAAAACACAATTTGCGAAGTAAAACTCACTGACATTAACTCCTAACCAAGATATAAACTTTTCGGTGTTTTCCTAGCTTTACAAAAATTTGAATTTCCTGCTCGTAAGAAAAACCTGAGTCTATACTAGAGAATCAAATTGCCTACTACCTAGAACGGTTTTAACAGGCTTCTTAATCGAACAATGTTCCTTCCCCACACTGAGTTGTCCAAAGTGTCAACAGTGTACAGCTGAGCCAAAGCATCGAGATGAAGGTTGCCATATTTTTGCAATGCAGCAATTTTAACGGTAACACTCATGTGCAATTTAACTCAAGTAGTAGATTATGGCTTTTTTCTACAAGCGGAAAGTTTGAACTTATGCATTGAAAAACGTCAACATCTTTGCTAAGAGTTACTTCTGAGTTATATTCATTGTACAAATTGTGTCCTGTGTTAAATTTTGATGAGATAACATTTATTACACTGCTTTTCAACCTCATCTAGTCTATTAAGTCGTAACAAAATCGACTGTGAGACTGTTTCTGCTGGAGGTTTTACCGAATTGTTGCAACACCAAAGATTTGATAATGCAATCAATATTGTAATTTATTTTGTGTCTGTAATAATTTAAACCACCCTTTACCATTGGCCATTTAATACTCAGCCCAATGAAAAATACAGCCATACTACTTATCATTAATGTGCACATGACTCATATTCTGTTTAATCTTTGCAGTACTCTCTCGGTCACAAGGAATTCATCTATGTGCTTTATGGTTCCTGACACCTGAGAAATGGCCTCACTCAATATTCTGGCGTCTTGCTTTCGCGCAGACAGAAAATCCATTCCTGCCATTTGAAGTATTATTACTAGTAACTCATTACCTCTGATTAATTCATCAATCAGTAAGCTAACTCTCCCCTTACAGTCAGATTGAATTTATTTGAGTGTCTGATTTTGATAATGTAAATCATAACTATTATAAGAGGTTCTCAAGGATTTGTGCATTAGCCCCTGAAAAATATTGTTGTTGATTGAAAGTCCTGGTATTTCTTCCCTGTGTTCTCTTTTTCCTGAAACTAATTCTGAACCCTGGAAAATCCAAGAATTCTAATCGTTGGGAACTTTTAAAACTTCCAGAACTTTGATTTTTTCTTCCAAGAACTTCTCTTTGCATATTAATTTTTCCCGGAACCCTTCAAAACATCAGAATCCCTCTGGAGTGTTTGAACCTCTCATTCTACAGGAAGCTCTGTGCACTATCTTAATGGGAACACCTTTTCCTCTAAATATTTGAGCAATGCTGTAGGCAGAGTTATCTTTGATTATCCCCTATCGTTTTCAATTATTCTCGACAAACGCAGCTCAAATTTTTTGTTTTTGTTGCTATGGTATGTAAAAATACTAGGCCTCTCAGAAAAAAGAAGCTAAATCTAGGAAGAATTTTGTGCAAATCTGTTCCGAATCTACTTTTTTCAAAACAGTATTTTTATACGTTCTTGTATTTAAGGGAGATTTGAGCACTTGATTGAACTTAAATGGCCGTCTATTAAATTAAATTTTGCACCATTGTTGTCAGGTGTTTTGACTCTCCAAAAGCACTAAAGATAAAAGCATCTTTTTTAACATGAAAATCTCAATTGAATCGTTTATTTATGACAAGGTGTGTCAAATCTACACAAGCTCTGGAACTCATGCGATGTAAAGTAAATCAGGGTCTGTGAGCTTTTAACGATTAGGTCATGTTAAAAAAATTTCAATACCATCAAGACAAGACCCATAAACTCTCCAAAGTACAAAATTTTTCTTGCCCTAAAGTGCTCCAGTCTCTCTTCGTGTGCTTGTTTGTTAACTCTGTAACTCTCCCTGGGTTTTTTATGACTCATTCGACCACTCTGCAAAGCAGAATTATTCGCCGTTTACATTATATTGTACACTCTGTGCGAACTTTAAAATCATTCATATCACTTTACGAAATAGGGTTTTGCACTTTTTATTTTAAGCACTGTGTTGTTTGCTTTTTGCTACCAGAAATGGGTACGATTTTCAATTGAATCCCCGAAAGTTAGTATTTTTATTACCTATATGAAGTTTTATTATCATTTAAGATGTGAACTGGTTCCTCTTGGCATCTTGACTTACCAAATGGACTCTTTAAGTATTTTCAATTAATTAATTCGCAACCTCTAGGTTACAGTTGAGTTTCAAATTTTGTTTAAGATTTAGTGAGCAAATATCAATTGCAATGGACCAATAGACAAGGTGCAAATTTAAGCATAATGATACACGAAATTTCGTGAAGAAGGTGAGTTGTACAACAAAAACTACTGAAAATATCTTCTTACACAGATATTATTGTTTTTTGATGCATAGATTCAAACTTCCTGCTCCTAATTTGCTTGAGTTAAATCGCACACTAATCATTACCGTGGCAGTCTCTGAGGTATGAAAATATTGCAACCTTAATCTTGGCATTTTGACTCAGTTTTTGCATGTTGTTCACACTTCGAAAAATACCAAGTGGGGAAGGAACACTTCTTATTGAGAAACCTGACAAAATCGTTGTAATGCGCAATTTAATTCAAGTAGGCTCTTGTCCTTCTTTGAGCGGGAAATTCAAAGTTTACCTCACCAATGCTTGATAAATACGTTAATATCTTGGTTAGCGCTTAATTTTAGTAACTTCTGTTGCACGAAATTAATGACAAAAATTAAAAGGAATCATGTTTTGCGTGAAATTACCAAGAGGACGCATATATCAGAATTCTTAAATTCGTACCTTGTCCACTGGTCTATTCAAATCAAATTTCTCTGTTTCAAATTATTTGAGGGTGAAAAATGTCTTTCAATACCTGTAGAAGACCTGTCTCGCAAGTTACTGAAAATCTTATGCTTTATGATACAAAAACGCCTTAAAATTCAGGAGTTCGAATTCGTCTTAAACCTTCATTGATTGATGAACTTTTATACTGATAATCTGTTTTATTTTAAAGTATTGATTCAGTGACATTTGGCTTAATTCAAAATTTATTTATTTGTTTATTTGTTTTCTTTTCTAATTATGAATATTGCCTTGTCAATTTTCACTGCTCAAGTGTCCAAAGTAAGTGCAAAAAGATGTCCAGAAAAAAGAAAACTTTAAGAGCCAGTCTCACCACATTTGGGTGAGACTTGTCTTTCAGTTTAGTTTCTATTTTATTTTTTATTGTATCCCAGAGAATCCGCAAATATTATTCAGACTTAGGAAAAAATCTGTGTGCGGCTTAGTTTTTCAAAAATTATCATGAAGTTTTACAAAAATGGAAGACTAAGTTAAAACAGAGACTATGAAACTGGCTTTGATCCTCAAAATGGAATTATTTGGCCATCATATTTCACTCCTGTGTACATTAATGCAGTTATAATAATTGCCCGCAACACCTATCATAGGAAGAAAACCTTAAGTCCCTGGCTTGGCCCCAAAAGAGTTCCCAGTTCACAGTTTCATCATCTTGATTTTTTTTTTTTTTTTTTTTTTTGTGCCTCAGGGCTGTTTTCCGATTAAAAGAGGCTCAGGCGAGGTTGTTGGTCACAGAATCAAGTTCATTTAACTGTTTTTTTTAAAAAAAAATATATATATGGATTGCTTTTGGCTGAAAGGAACTGAGTTACATTCAGATACAACAAATTATCCCCAAAAAATTTAACATATTTTCAGTCTTATGCCTGCAAATTGTCTGTGTGAAAAGTTACGGAAATTATATTTGTTGATCGAGGAAAATCTGGGTCAGTTAGGGAATTTTTCCTGTCCGTAGACGCCCTTGAAAAGCAATTCGACGGCACAACTCCTAAGCGACATATCTTGTCTTAGGTGTTTTAAAATTTCCTATCCTGTTTTATTTTTTTTTAAGGAGAAAAAATCAACATCTCTCCTTGAAGTTTTCATAGAATTTTCTTTGCATTGCGACGAAAAACACGGCAGTTTTTAAGAATTTCTATTGAGAAGTTTCCCATATGAAAAAAAAAAAAAAAAAAAAAAAAAAAAAATCACAGTAATTCCGCATCATCCCAAACCGAGGTATGTGGCTTGTGACGTGCACCAGCGATTTGCACGGCTTTGGTGCCAACTACAAGTCATTGAAGCTGTTTTATCGAGTCAATGCCTGTTACTCCCTTTTGATCGATGGAAGACACTCTCTGTGCACATCTATATGTTTCCTCTTTATGTACGTTAATTAGTCCCTTACGGACGAATTGTTGTCTGTTGTAACCTACTTATTTGGGATATGTTGTAAGATCTTATTTACTTGTTTTAGGTTTTATATCTTTTAATTTCCTTCTCATTTTTTTTTGTTATATCACTTTACCTCCTAATTTTTCTATTCTGATTCTAGTTGGATTTGTTGAATGTTTGAAATATTTAATATATTGTTGATGAATTTTCGGTTTTTGTTAAACAGTAGTATATATTCAGAACCTGGTGAATGTTTTTGCTTTTTTTAGATGACTGTTGATTCTTGGTGTATAATTTGTAAGTTGTTTCTTTAGAGAACTATTTTAATATATTTTCTCCATTTCCCCCAATTTTCTTTTTTTCACACTCCCCTCCCGTTTTGCTGTTTCTTACTTAATCTCATTGATAATTCTTCATGAAAATAAATGGGTTTACTGTTTATGCTGAAGTTTTATTATTTCAAGTCTTACTCAAAAAGTTGATGATCTCTCTGAATATTTGAGTGCCAAAAAATCGCAAGCCTCAACAGAAAAAAGGACCTAGTAGTTACAGGAGGCAAATTTTATGGGAGCATAATTTTAGTCACGTCAGCACTTAGATTTTTGGTTTCTGAGCTTTCAAGAAGAGCCGCTTGCCAGCGTTCTAAGGAATATGCAGCAGGCGATTTATGTCATTTTTAAGGCAATAAAGAAAGATACCATTTATATTTGGCAGTTTTGAGCATTGTAAATTTTAAGCTCTCATAGTTTTTTTTTCTTTTCTTTCTTGAGAATTACATGTTTTTCATTGAAAACTTAAAACTTAAAAGCACCACATCTTCGGTCTGGTTTGAAACTTTATAAAAGGAGTGGGAATTTTGAAACACCACAATTGAGATAAGTGTTCTCATAATTTCATCATCAGTGTATATCGACGGAGTAAGTTCGCAATCACATATCTCGTTTGCGGTGTCTGGAAATCTCCGCCTCTACGTTATTTTTTTTTAGAGAAGAACAAATCGACATCATTCCTTGAAGTTTTTGCCGAATTTTATTCGTACAGAGAAGAAAAATCATGGCAGTTTTAAAGAATTGTTGAATAGTCTTCTGATTAAAAAAAAAGTATGAAAGGAAGTCTGCGACGTCGCAAACCGAGTTATGTGATTGCCGATTTATACCGTTAATATCTGCATTCAGGTTACTCGCATTAAAGATTCTGCCGCTGTTTATAATATCCGGTAAAGTAAAGTGGAACCCCACCCATCCGACAGTGGCAAGCGGCCTGGTTATCGGATACCAATCATGTCGGATAATTTTATGTTATTTCCAAACCTATAACACACCTATTATATAAATATAAGCAACAAATAAGAACGCAGATGAAGTGTAAAATTGCTCGCTTAATTTTGGCAAGTTAAGAATTGTGTTCTCTTGCAGTGTGATGTATCAAATTAAGACAAGCTATGTGATGATACAACAAATCTAACATGGACAAAGGCCTTTTCCCCGTTCTGCATAGTTTAGTGAGTGTAAAATGCACTTTCGCCAGGGCGTTCGATGATTCAGTGTCAGATAATCAGGGTTCCACTGTGTCAATACTTTTCAATTTTTTCTCCAATATTCATTTTTCATTTCATAAAAGTCTATTTTTCGATCTCAAATCTTCTTTTCTTCAAATCATTTAGTCCATCTACATTAATTTTAATTACTCGACTTGCAACTGATAGCTACATAGATTACAGCCAGCCAATCACTTGCACACTTGTTGTCTTACCAGTTACCACCTGTAATGTCAGCTAGTCTATATAAGCGTGCGCTGCGCCCAAATCAAGGTTTTCTTACATCCCTCAGACCCGTGAGACGTTGGTCCCTTCATCTTTTGACCAAAGGTTTTTTTCCATCTTTTAGACCAGAGACACATATGTGTTCTCTCAACATCCCTTAGACCCAAGTGACATTCAGACCCTCTCATCAAGTGTCTCGCTCTCAACGCTTTAAGAGCATCATTACGTGAAACCTCGACTTTGTGTGGAATCTTGACTAGCTTTTCATCCGCTTTACTTCTCTATATTTTGTGTGATATTTACCTGATATTTCGGCTTAATACAGTGAAAAACTATATCTCAAACTTTGCTGCATTTGTTTCCATCCGGTCATTCGTAGTTCGTTGGTTCTATGTTTATAAAAACGATCTGGTGCCAAAACGGATATTATTTTGAACTTTCTTCACCAATCTTAATCTATAACATGGTGTCTCAAAAGGTTCTCAAACTTTAGCAAAAAGTTCTTAAACTTAAACACACTGTGCTTAAAATTTCATCCTCCTCTTCAAAGGGAATTTTGCCCCTGACTAAAAGTTTGCAAGAGAAAAAAAATATTGAGTCAAATGAATTTTACAACGAATGCTATTGAAGAGACAAAATAAAAGAAACAATTGGAAAGTACAATTTATTCATATGATAACACAATATGAACATTTCGAAGGATATTGATGAATCACAAGTATGAAGAAGGTAAGAATGAGTCTTCGGAGGGCACACGGAAAAATGAACACCGGGAAAGAAGCCTTAGTTCTGATAAAGCTATGCATACATTTCTTTTTTAGCAAGTTGTTCACAGATATGAAAACGTATCAATAGAAAATCTTTGTGCTATGGATTTGCATTAAATCTAGATCAAGGCATACATAAAAGGAAGGATGGGGGGAAAAGGAGTAGCCCCTGCAAAAAATAATTATGAAGTAAGGCTGTGATATCACATTCTATGGACTCTATGATCATAAATATGCAATGACCCAATTATTCAAAACAAGACTTACTAATTGTTTTGGAAAATCATCTTGGGAATTCTCGGTATCTAGCTCGGTCAGGCGGCTAATGATTGGCTGTAATGAATGCTAAAATAAACAAAGAAAAAAATGTCAACATTACGAAGAGGAAGAAATAAGAAGTACACACTTACACAGTCTCATTTGGTAGACAATGATTTGTCCCTCAAAAATGGCTCCTCACAACTCAGATGAAAAATCTGAGATCTTAAGACTTTACTTGCGGATTGCAAAAGATAGTATTTTTTCCAAGACCAAAGGAGCATCATGTATTATAATTTTTTCCACATAGGTGTGAGAGGGAGCAACAGCAGATGTATTGTCAAAAATTTGGAAAACTACTTAGCAGTTGATAGCTCTTCCATAAAGTGCGAGAGATTAACGCAAAATATTGATGAGAGACATCTGCTGAAATGTCATCAAAAGATTTTTAGCACAGTATTTCGTTTAAACTTGATACTTTCGTACAGTTTAGAGTTGATTCTCCAATAAAACGACTACTTAAAGGCCTCATGCCATCTTTCTCACTAGCTTCTCAAGTGAACGAAAGCGAACGTAGTACGTTTCCTTTGAGCTTCAGTTGTGAACAGAGGCCCCTATTCAGCGCGTTTTGTTGAGCGAGAGGTTGGTTATCAACAGCTGCAGCATCTACATGCACGATACCCAGAGGAAAAAAAACAAAACAAAATACTTCTTGTACAATAAAAATTATCGATGAAAATACAATTTGAATTCCTTAGAGTGATAGCCGTGGTCTCTTTTTGAAGTAGAAAGAAAATGATTTAAAAAAGGAGGATATTCCTTTCTTTTACTCTAGTCCTCTATATGAGGCATCTTGAGGCAAAGGGAGCAAAATCCTTTTAGCTGATGAGCCCCACAACTCTAATGTTCTTACATGATCTGGAATTTATCAGCAAAACAGACTTTATTCCTCCCTTTGCTTCAAGATGCCTCCTGAATGTCTTTGGGCAGCGAGGTTCTTTTACTTTGTAGCTTTGATATATTAGCACAAAATATTTGTATTCTCTCGAGAAACGGATAAATACGTACCTTATTTTTATCTTGCATCCTCTTGTAGTAGTGATCACCGATAGACAATATTAAATCGCACACTATTTCTATGGATGAATTTTCTTCTTTAAGAAATAAACCGATAAGAACCCCATGCATTACAGGGACATTTAACATATCTTCATTGAAAAGATGCCCGAGAAACCTGAACAAAGAAAAAGACTGAACTACATCCTATTCTCTAATGCATCGATGTATTGCGAATTTCTTGAAATTAATAGGTTTTGAACCAGGAACTTTCCGCAGAAGTTGCTCCTACTGATCTCAAAATGATTGTTATTATTTAGCAGAGTGTAATGAAAATTCCAGTAGGAACCTTCACGATAAAACTGTACATTTAACTTTTAACACATCTCATCCTATCATCACGTTTGATGCGTAGGTGAATCTTTAATGGAAATCTTGCCACTTCTCATCCACACCCATCATTTTGTTAGTCCTCTTGCTAATATTTTTGTGCCAATGGTTTTTCATGTTATAAAGGTTTTGCCGAGTCAGTGTTTCCTGCACATTCAGTTTCTACAACTAAGATGTTTCTTGTCATATTCAAAGATGTGCTTCAACTTCAGAGGTTTAGATTTTTACCTAATATAATCTGAACTTTACAACAAAGATAGAAACTCCATTATAATACAACTTTTGAATCTCTAACATTCTTTTCGAAATAATTGAAAAATTTACCTGCAAAACTGGCGCCGCTTATGTCTAAATTCATTCTTTTTACACTGATTAAGATATTTCTGGTGAGAAGTTATTCCTTTTTCTTTCTGAGATTCCTGATGTTTCTAAAAAAAATACATTGATGAATAAATGAATACATAAATAAAAGGCTGAAGGATTAAAACCTCTTGGAGGGAGTTTTAAAGGAGAAGGATTGGAGGCGGTTTCAATCCTCTGAGATGATGTAATCCTTTAATCTAAATTTGAAGAAGTGGTCAAAATATTTTTGTTGCTCCCTAAAACCACGCAGTTTTTTTAATTTTGATACTCCTCCAAAGTTAGGCTTTGGTGTTTGTCGACCCCTGGTGACTTGTTAGAACTTAATTGCTGCCTCAAATTTTCCCTCCTGGTGTGTAATTCATGTAGCTTTTATAGTTATGTAGGCTTTACCATACCCTCCTGACATTCAAGATGTCTATTTTCAACACATCCTTCAAACCTGTTCCTAGAAAAGACAGATGAATATCAGCACCTCAGTATACTACAATTTATGTTGAGGGATATAGGGTGCAGTGCAAAGCCTTTGTCGGGTTTTTGCTCAGCTCTATCCCTTGGATTCTTGCACTTCTCACTTTGCAAGAGACAAGGGTTTTCTCTTGTTGATCATCCAAACCTCTGATATGCTTAAAAATCCCATATTGGTAATATCCTGAATTACTTCCCATTGACAAGGTTCTCCGCACCCCCCCCCCTTCCTTCTGCTGTCCATCACATTGAATGGAAAAATGGGAGGGCTACTTCATGGCCCCTTCCAACACTGTTTGATGATACTTCCAATTCTTTTTTCTTTTTTTTTCATTCTTTAATTTTAAGAGGAGTTTAAGATTTATGGGTTTTTAATTTTCTCCCTATCAATTCATAGCGCCATTGATTTTTTCTCTTTTTTCATTAATCGTTAGATGAAATCACAGGTGAATTAAGAACTTACCGGTGGAATAACAGGTGGGCCAACTCTTTCAGTCATCATTTCATTATCAAACTGATTCTGACAGACATTGAGTAGTCTTCTTCTAAAGTAACAGTCATCTAGATAGTGCCCTCTGTCCATTTTCAGGGATAGGGATAATTTTTTGCATAACAGTGCACAACTTTTTGGTTGATCAATGGCCTGGAATAGTAGTAATACATTCAACTAGAAGTCTAACAGAACCTGCTTAGGAGGATCCTGGAGAAAAAAGAGCATCAGTAGAAAAACTGTGTTTAGAAAAAAAAGGCTGCAAATTATGAAAGTTTCTTATTGCCATTTACTGCCATAACTTCTCTTAGTTCAAGAGATTTGCTATAAGGCAATACTGGATGGCTGCTGTGAAACTTGTCTCCAACTTCCACACTTTTTGTTCCATTTTATTGATTGATAAAGGGAGAAAACTACCGATTGTATTAAAATAGTACCACCACCTTTCTTTCAAACAAAAAATGTTTAAATACAACCTGATTAAGGTTTGACGCATGAGTCATTACGGCAGAAAGTTGTAAATTTTTTGTTGTATTCAATTAGTCAAACGGTGGATTGTGCCGCCAATGCGCCCAACTTGGTACATTTTGAGCAATTTTTCATGCTGAGAGTTGTAATCCCCTGTCTTTCCAGATGATATAAGATGATAAACAATAATTTTGAGATCTTAGGATTCGGCTGAGAGTCAAGCTGAAATTATGAAATGCGACTTGTAAAGATTCATCCTGTAAACTTAATTTTTTTCCCGACTATGAGGTTTTTTTATTCTTTTTCTTTGACTATTACAAATTTACCGCAGCTCATCTTTTCTCCTCGATTGTCATCACTCTGCTTTTTATTGAATACATATCTTGATTTTTTAATGAAGCTAAGTGGAGAAAAAACAGTTCAATAGGTTCCCGCAACTTATTGTTTTTATTTCTATTTTTTTCACAGGTAATAAGGGTGCAAAGTACCCTCCCGAAAACTGCCATGCTAAGCAAGTATGCCGTAAATCCATTGAGATTTTTCCTCATTTTTCGGAACTTAACGCCTTATAAAATAAAAATTGTTTAACCCATGCACCTCAAATTTTCAGGTTAAGTTCTTGATAGTATTTACAAAAGAATTCTGTAAAAACATTGTCCCATGGTGCACAAGTTTATCTGCTATGATACATTGTTTCCAAAAAATGTAAAATAGCAATTGCAGCGTTTTTGTGTTGCACAGCAGAAAAAGACTTATATATTGGTCTATGTGATTGAAATACACGCTGTAGCCAAGTCTTCAAATTTCAGCGCTAGTTATACATGCATTAGGTAATGTATGCAAAGTAAGTCTCCTACCTAGAAATGGAAACTGAACAGATGGACTTTTTTTCAATGCAAAGACTAGGTACTTACTATTTTTATGATTTCATCTACAAGTTTAGCAATTCTCCTCTCTTTGGTAATCATTGGCAACATTATGATTTCCTTGGCTACATCATCTACAGGTAAGACTGAGTTCAATTTAAGAAGTGCACAAATTATGTCTTCATCATCAGGGTCCTGAAAGCGAAATTCAAAAATATACTAGATGTGTACATACAAAGATTAATTGTTGTCTCAATTGAAACATTTCAAAACTCAACATTTGTCAAGAGCTTAGTTCTAATTCTGAATCAAAGTATGCCAAGTTGGTATTCCTCACTAGTTTTTTTTTAACACTTTTCAGGATAGAAACTAGCTTTTTTAATTCATCTGAACTCATGACAGCTCAAATTTTTTATACAATGTCCAACTGACCCTACTCCCACTTTAATCTCTTCCAATATGTATGCATATGAGTCGCTTTTATAGCTCTGTGTCTTGCTAAGCCCCTCTAATCGCCAACTTTTCAATTTTTCTGAAGTCGTCTCTTTTGATATTCTCATGAATGGGTGCAGTGCTCTGATTATCTTACTTACAATAACATACTGCTCCTATCCTCTCATCCTGAAGGATGCCACTCCTGGCTAGGGCTGTTCTATCGGTTGTCGGTAAGCTACCGAAACAGTTCCGTTAAGAAAAAGTTACGATGAGAGCGCTCTTGCCGGTAGCGATCAGAGTTTTTGGAGCTGGCGAAAATAAGCTGTTGCCATTTGTACATCTATTTTACGCGCCGCCGCGCCAGGCAATCTGATAAACCGACACACAGGGCAACAATGCATTGAGTGCAAGCTCTCAAAAATCCAATAAGGCCGGCTGTTGTCGATATTATCGCCACTGTCGGTACTGCCGCCAGTTTCAATAAGAGACGATATCGATAGCGTTCCGGCAAGAATTCGTTTGAACACCCCTACTCCTGGCTGTCCTCACTCCTTTTTCCTTGGAGTGGCTCTACCAAACTGAAAGTCATAAAAACTTTCCAGGCCGCTCCTCATTTTTTAAGGCCCCTGTATGCCATAAAATTCCTTCGCTGCTTCAATTGTTTTGGGTGTTCCACAAATCCTATTTTCCTAGGGCCCGGTTCCATCATCTATTATTACTGAGGCACTTCCAACACAGCAAGCTGATATTTTCAAATTTTTTCTGTTGGCCACAGAAAGAGAAGTACAGCTTAAGTTTAATTTGATTTTTTATGTCTGAATCAGATTTACTTTTCAACAAACCATAAATATTTCCTCATTGCTCAACGTTGTTTTTACTACATTAGATACTGGTGAAAATTGTGCTTGTTCTCCCATCATTCTCAGTTCGTTTGTTTTATCCTCAGATGATGAACTGGTTTCACTCTTACACTGACATTTGAGCTAAAACAGATGGAAAAATAGATTCAATTAGGATAAGAGCATGCAAAAGTTGGACAGTTTTGATGTCAAAACTGTATGGAGCCGGAATAAATTAAAAACCGCGTACCGACAAAATTGATGGTCTTTATGGCTATATAATATGCAGGTTTAAGCAGATTTTTTTTTTAATTTTAGAGAAGATGACTAAAGATAAACTTAATACTTGCTCTTGTACAATGTGTGTCACAGCATTACTATTAAGAGACAGTCCCATCTCCTATTCAAGGTGGGCACCTAAAAAAAAGCTTATAAAAAAGATCATGTTTTCAGCAATGATATGGTAGCATATGAGACGTTCAAATATAGTTGACTTTAAAGGAAAGGACAGAAAGTCAAAGGTGAAACCTTTAACTCCTTAGAACTGTTGAATACCTGCTTGGATCATCAGGTTGAGTTTTTTTTTTCTTTCTTTCTTTCTTTCTTTCTTTCCGATTGAAAAATTTCATGAAACCCTAATTGCTTGTTGTAAAGGATTTAAAAAATGTCCTTTTAATTTTTTTCCAGTTATTTACCTTTCTGTGGGGTAAAAGCATTTGATGTTTGCCATGTTGTGACTACATTATGATGACTCTAGCAGAACAAAAACTAGTTTTAGAGATTTTACACTCAATATTCCTGTAAGACAGTTCAAACCTCATGTTGAGGAAATCTGTTCTTCAGAAGTCTTACCTTGTCAAAGTTGTTGTATCTGCCTTAGGAAAACGGTAAAACAGCCTGAGGAAAACGGTAGGATTTTCTAAAAAGCAAACATTCCAAAAACAATATTCCATGGTTCCCATTCATGAAATACTGATGCAGCTAAAATATTTATTTTCAAAACTTACCTTTGGCGCTAAAGTTTGAGTGCTGGACTCCTTTTTCAACACCTCTGTTTGTGAATCTTGGGACTCAGGTGCAATGGCAGGTTTTACAACCTCCTCCTCTGACCGTGTTTTCGATTCTGGAAAAAACAATTTTAACAAAGATAAAAACAAGAGAATGCTTATGATGTATGTGACTGCACCCTTAGACTGTGTTTCGAAAACACTGTGGGGCAAGGCCAATCCAGACAGGTCAGTCATTGTGCATCTTTGTAAGATCCACTCCCCCGCCCAGCCCTAACTCGGCGGCACTCAATGCTACGTCACAATGGGTGCTCCTATAAGAAATACATTGTAGGCACTCAATGCTACATCACTGCGCAATAGAGTTCTAAAACTCGTCCTCAAGAATGACTGACCTGTGTGTACATATTGGTCTTGCTGAGGGGTTACAGCAATTCGACGGTGTAAGTCGGCAATCACATAACTCAGTTTGCAAAGTCGCAGACTTCCTTTCATACTTTATTTTTCAAACAGAAAACTACTCAACAGCAATTCTTTCAAACTGCCGTGATCTTTCTTCTCTGTACAAACAAAATTCGGCAAAAACTTCAAAGAATGACGTCAATTTGTTCTTCTTTAAAAAAGAATAACATAGAGGCGGAGATTTTCAGACACAGCAAACGAATTATGTGATTGCCGACTTACATCGTCGAATTGTGAATGAGATGGATTATCTACCAACATGTGTAGTGTACACAAGAGGTTTGAAACTCATAAAGGATGCGCAAGCAAAGGGATTCTGTGCTCGGACTAGTTTTGAACCTCATAATTTAATTCCCTTACTACGCACTTACTTTGTTCACATGATGAAAAATAAATTATAACTGCTGAATGAGCCATACCTGCGAGTAAAAGTCGTTTGTTTAGGTTGTCAACAGTTGCATTGATCTGGTTCAATCTCTGGGCAAAATTCAGCTGCCTTGCATTGAAAATTCGCATCAAATCCAGAATTTGATCAATCTTTTTGGCTTGGTCAATACTGTTATCCGTCGACGCACCATTCTGAAATGCTGACATCGTGCACATAAAAGAGATTCAAAGGTTTATAGTAAAATGGTAATCAATCAGTAAAAAAAACAACAAATGTACACTCCTACAACAGAGAGTGATGAATTAGAATAGTAAGAAGCACTAAACTTGGGATGCTTTGAATGGTATGAAAAGTAGAAGATACTCGAACTGATAAGAGATAAGTACAATAATTTATCGGAAAATCAAAACAAAGGCGATGCACACACTAATGAGCATGAAATTGCATCGTTGTGTGCAAGCAGACGATCAAGCTCTAAAGTCACAAGTAGAAGTACGATTTCAGGTGATTCAAGTACGCGAACAGGTGGTCTGCGGAGAGCCGGAGAGTATGCGCCATGCGATTGTGAGAGGTTAGGTTAGTCCTAGGTTAGTCAAATCATAACTAGATCATAACAAAACATTTCCCCATGATTTCCCCTCTCTTCCTCGCCAAATGACGTCATCAGAAATTCAAACGAGCGGGAAGTGTGAAAACGCAGTCGGATAAATCCAGAAATGATCGAAATAAGAGTTGGAACGATCACGCCAAGTCGAACTCATATCAACGCCTGCAAGACTGCAGGAATACCTCATGCATTGCGCGTCAGGCGCATGTTAGCGCCCACGAGACTGCATGAATACTTCTCGCATTGCACCAAACGCAATGTGAGGGTTATTTTCAATAACCTCTATTTTCGATTACGGGTATAGGCACATTGCACATTGGCGCTAGCTGGATTGAAGGCACATCACCTGTGAATATGGCTCGACACTCGACCGCACTTCCCTTCCCTGGCTTATTCATGCCGCTAAAATCGCCGCAAAACTAGGTCCACGTGTCATTTCTTTTGACAGTCCTTGCTCGGTTTTTACCCCATTTGATGGGTTAATATGTATCGTAATTGCAACGATTCAGCAATTCTGATCCTTGATTTGCATAAAATTAATTTTGGTTCAATAAAAAGAAAACAGAACGTGCGAAAATATCGCGTCGAAATTTATTGTGATTCTATTGTAAATCATTCCGGAAATTTCGAAACTTCTAAAAAAAACCTGGGAACTCCTCAGAAAAACTGTGATTGTAGCTTTTTAAAAGCAATGTTCAAAAATAAGACATAAAAATTGGTGCATAGCGGTGCAATCAAAGATAAATACGCTTTCTTTCGCGTGCACCCGTCGGCTTTTGAATACATTCATCTATGAAATAACTTGAACATGGTTGCTCTACGATTTTTTACGTATAGTTTGTTTCAGTGGTTGGCGGCCGCGTAGCGGCCACAGGTTCCTAAACAATCGATTAGACGATTAATCGGATAACTGTAAATAGATTACTGTAATCGATTATTATGCGCTCGACTAATTATTATGAATCGATAATCGGAACATGCCTAGTCTATGTTGTATCAGGTTTTCCGTCAAAAAATGCCACCTGGCACCGAGTTTTAAGAAAATCGAGCGAACAGGAGTCGCAGATCGTACGATAAACGCTACTAGTCAATTTGCCTACGTTAGTGCGCCTTCAATTTCGTCTGATACCGTGCAATACTTCCGAGGTGGAATAGTTGCTCAGAGCGCCTTCAAGCGTATCGCCTCGACTTGATGGCAGAAAATCACGCCTGCCGCCGACATTACACCCCAGAACGTGTGGATTTACACATTTTCTCATCATTGACGGAGAGATGAAATACATCCATACCACAATTTGCAACTGTTTCACTGCCTACTTTGAACACGTAGAAGAACACGAACACTTAAAATCTGCCGTAATTTTCCCAAAGTATGATAAAAAGCATTATTTGAATGTGCTGCTGTGATGTGTGAATGTGCTGTGTGAATGTGCTGTGTGATGTGATTAAAAATAGCCTTCATACTTTCTGGCCGTATCGAATTCCGATTACATTTTTGCAGTCACCAATGCATAGCTTAAGTGCGCTTCAGCTAGAATTGTATTTAGCAAATGGGTGGTTTTTATAGGAGGATTATAAATAAACAAGTGGTTAGAAATGAAAACAAAATAATATGAACTATGCAGAACTATAATCCGGGTATCGGAACTTGGCTGTTTTTGAAAACGCCTTCAAATGCGGCGTGATACCTCACGCATTCCGGAGAGTTCAAATAGTTGTATCATTGCGCCGTAAGAATGTGACGGAAGATTATAATTGAAATAGCCTTCATACTTGATGGCTTTTTCTATTTCCGTTCACATTTTTGCAGCCATCAAGGCATAGCCTAAGTGCGCTTCAGGTGGAATTGTATTCAGCAAATGGGTGGTTTTTATACGGGGATTAAGAATAAACAAGTGGTTAGAAATGAAAACAAAATAATATGAACCATGCAAAACGATAATCCGGGTATCGGAACTTGGCTGTTTTTGAAAACGCCTTCAAATGCGGCGTGATACCTCACGCATTCCGGAGAGTTCAAATAGTTGTATCATTGCGCCGTAAGAATTTGACGGAAGATTAAAATGGATATTGCCTCCATGCACGCTGGGCCTGTCGATTTCCTTCGACATTTTTGTAGTGGTGAATGCATGAATTGCGCTCCAGCTAGAGTTGTATTTAGAAAATGGGTGGTTTTTAAATGAGGATTAAAAATAAACAAGTGGTACGGAATCGAACAAAATAATTTGAACTATGCAAAACTATAATCGGGGGCACATGAATTGTATACAAGATAAATCGTATACTCCCGTCGAAATCAGATAAATCGTATACTCCCGTCGAAATCAGATAAATCGTATACTCCCGTCGAAATCAGATAAATCATATACAGATGGATGGTGAGAGGATAATTCATATAATTTGCCAGTTTGTGAAACTGTTGGGCGATCGCGAAATTCATTCTGATTTCTGATCATTCATAATTTCATAGCCCTTCTTTCCTACAAATAATGTAAGGAATTTTTTTTACCTAATACCACGAATAATTCTCATTTGGATTATTAATTATTTCTGCAGTAATATTTCACTTCTAGATAAGGTGGATTGCCAATTATCGATACTATCCACAGACTGTCCAGCTTTTTGGGGTATAACCAGTTTGTTGGCTTAAATTTTCAGCGTCTTTGAGAAGAACTTAGTTCATTCTGACATTGTTGAGTCCATATAAAATTTACAAAATTCTAGTGAAGAACTGTGTGCAGCCCGTTTAGGAGTCCCCAATATTTTGTGTCAATCTGTGTGGCAGTGACCGTTCGTCTGTCCTAATCAGGACGGAGGCCAATTTTTAATAATTTTAAATAAGTTAAAAATACAGTCCTACAATTTCAGTAGTGTCTTGCCAAAATGCGTCCGTACTTGGCAAATGGGTGGTTTTTATAGGAGGATTATAAATAAACAAGTGGTTAGAAATGAAAACAAAATAATATGAACTATGCAGAACTATAATCCGGGTATCGGAACTTGGCTGTTTTTGAAAACGCCTTCAAATGCGGCGTGATACCTCACGCATTCCGGAGAGTTCAAATAGTTGTATCATTGCGCCGTAAGAATGTGACGGAAGATTAAAAGGGAAATAGCCTCCATGCACGCTGGGGCTGGGGCTGTCGATTTCCTTCGACATTTTTGCAGTGGTGAATGCATAGCTGAATTGCGCTCCAGCTAGACCTTGTCTAGTGGTCCATTAACATGCAAATTAATAGCTGTTTAGTGTAAACAAATTGCGTGTGCTCAAATGTTGAATTACCGTCGCACAGCTGAGGGCTCGCCCGATTTTTTAAACTTCCCGCTTATTGAGTTGTTTCACCTCACCGCACCGTTGCCGTTGGTCGATGACTTTCCGATTAAATTCCGGCGGGCAAATAGTTTTTTTGTTTCTGTCTGCGTTATCAGTGTGTTCAACTTCTTATCAAGAACTTTTAAATTTTTCACGTCTACTTTTGTATTTTTTAAACTTTTTCAATCATGCCTGGGCTCTTCGAGTGCTGTAAGAAATTTTTCGGAACTGACAACTTGTACGAGGTGTTGAAAATCTCGAAGAGTGCTAGTGACAAAGAAGGTTAGTTCTCTCGTGCTTACAACTTTCATTCCATTTTTTGAGCAATAAAAATTTGAATCATTCTTTTAATCATTTTATTATCATTAGACCACTTACTTGCTCACATTTCATCAGACTACAATCATTCAATAATATCATCTGAGTTTCGGAAAGAGTTGATTTCTCACTCCTGGCTGAGGGCTAGTTGCCCTGAACTCTTATCTAACATCTCATAATCTACGATTAAGTCAGATATTTTACAGCCACTATACCCTACATTAGAAATTTAATATCCGCACCCTCGTTTTAAATGCACATTATTGAAGAGTTGCTCCATCTCCCCATTGCCAAGCTCTCACTTCTCTCAAGTTACTTACCGCATTGAAATCAATTCGCTTGCATGTCAGTAATTATCCTGAAGAGGTTGGTTCATTCTATAGAATCCAATGATCATATCAAGGATCATGAGTCTAATTGTCAAATTTACACTCCACTAACCTGGATTTGGGACAGTGACCAACGGGGTTGCAGCCCTTGAGCGATCGATTCTGTCAAGAAGTTTTGAGTGATCGCCAGTTTTGGGATGAGCATTATGTTGAAGTCCATTCCATGGAAGGCATAGAGTCGTGTCAATAGTAACACAGGAGCTTTTACGTCAGTTCTATGTATTTTACAATTTCTCTATCACAAAATCTCTATGCTAGGTATAGACTGCAATTTAATACTGATTCCTCTCTATACTTCTTCACGCTCTTAGAGCAATGTGAAAATTTTATTTTGTCTTTCTTGAATTCACCAATGTCCGCATCGGATTAACTCTGCAAGCTAGAATGTTAAACGGAAGGACCTGCTTGGCATGCTCAGTTTTATTGACTTGGAATTTTTTTCATCTGACCTTTTAACATTGTTTCTTCACTTTTTCAGTAAAGAAAGCTTACCATAAGCTCTCCTTATTGGTTCACCCTGATCGAGTTGAAGAATCACAGAAAGAAGAGGCAACCGAAAAGTTCAAAGTCCTTGGCCATATTCACAAAATACTCAGTGACAGAGAGAAAAGAGCTACTTACGATGATACAGGTAAGTTTTTTGTAGTTCTGTAACATTACATAGAAGTTGACATTGCAGAAAATATAATCAAGACATTATTAAAAAAAGGACTATTTTTATGGAGAATGGCTGTTCATATCCTGAGGCTAATTGTGTATATCCTGAAGAATAAGAGTGCCAAATTTGATCATAATTCTATATTTCCAAGAGAAAAGTCAGCAAATAGTATGTCATGCAGTGAGGCCATATTTATGATTCAGAGATAGCTTACGGCACAATGATGCTGGAAGCCGGTCAGGAGCATGGATACAAAGTGGTGTATTGCATTGTAGCGTATACAGTCATCCTGCTCCTCCGTCAACTGTCCTCCACATTGAGCACCAATCATGATGGCTTAGTCTCAACACATCTTAACTGGCATTCTCCAAATAATTTTGGCACCATTTCGTAGAATTTGTCATTAAAAAAATCAGTGGCACTTACTCGGAGGATAAATCACTGTCCTATGTAAAAAAGTCCCAGCTCACCTCCTAACCTGTTTCAAAACTGGACGCAGATTAAAATTTCAGGATCAAGTCTTTCTCTCCTGAGGCACACAATCTTACTGAAGATATTAAACCAACAATATCACTGCACAGTAGGTTTTTGTATGCCAATCAGAGATCAGTTCAATATCAAATTACTGCGGTCCTCAATAATTTGGCAGAGAAATTACTAATTGGTATTTGCAGAACCAATCCGCGCCTTGGCCTCATAGGCCTCACTAGATTGATAACCCAGTTTGATAGTGTGACCCAGGCTTTATGAAATTGTATAATGTCAGTAAGGAGTTCTGAAACAGTGCAATCAAAATTAGCTCCTCTGGGCAGAAGGCAACGAATTGTGGAAGAAAGCATACCAAAACTTTCTTTCTCTTTATAAAAGATGCTTATTTACTCCTCAGAGTAACTGTAGATATGAGCCTTTGAATCAGACATTCAAGTTTTTTTACAGGAAAGATATGTTTAAGTTAATGTGCAATATGATCATGGTCAAATTAATTGCAGGATGCGTCGATGAAGATGATGATGGTTTCACAAAATTCAATGATCTGGAGTCGTGGAGTGAATACTGGAGGTCCCTTTTCAAGGAAATAACAATCGAAGATATTAATAATTATGAAAAAGAGTACAAAGGTAATTATTCTTTTGCCAATTTAATTCTAGTTTCATCAAATTACTTGAAAATTCTCAAATCAGTGCCTTTAAAGTTTATCGTGGACCCATGCATTTGGGAAATTGTAGGAAAGATGCCTTTAGCTCCAAATGGATGTCCAAGAAAGAATCTCCTAAAATATTGCACAGCTTGAAAATTCATGCCGTTAAGGCGTTCTTCTATTCACAAGTATCTTGATAGATAACTTTTAACATTTCAGCCTTCTAAGGGTAGTCTACATTTATGTGCAGACACCTTTTTTTAAGAAAAAATTACATAGGTTTAAATATCTCTAATCATTCTAACCAAGGTAATTTTTTCTTAAAAGGGTAACTCAACCCTTAGAAATGCATGAAATTCGCTCCTAAGGCCATAAAACAACTAACTAGGTATCCAAGAGATGTGTGAATAATCAAATTAGACTTTGGACCAATAAGTTTGCTTTGTTCTGTGATGGAGGGGTTTTAGGTTTGCTTACCAACCCGGTGACCTAAGTTGAATGGTCTCTGGAAGGAGTTAAGGGTTGGTTGATGAGTAAGGATGGAGAAAAAATTGGATCTAAGTGCAGGATTCGTTTTCAGAGCTATTCGAAGTGGCGGAAAAAATATCATATTATCTTGTGAGCCAGATTATACATTGTGGTTGCTGAGTGAATAGCTGAAATAACAAAGCTTGTTTGGTTTTTTCTGGTATTGATAATTCCAAAGAAAACTAAAAATGTACCCGTATCCTTTTTAAAAATCTACCCCAGTATGGGCAAATTCATCCAAATCAATAAAACCTTATTATTCTCATGAATAGAGAATTTGCAGGTGTCTGAAATTTGATGAATTTTGTGTTCAAGTGGAAACTACTCAGTGAACTGAACACAAGGATGGTCTTGGTTCATGAATTGAACAATTATTGGAGAAGATATGACAAAATGATCTAATCTGCTACAATGCAAGTGTTGAAATGGGAAATGCCACCAGATGATGTCACTAGGCGGTGCACTATCTCACTTTTAAATATATTTTTATACTATTTCCCTTATCAGAAAAAAATTATATAAAATACTGCAAAATCAGCTCTTGCAGCACTTTCAGATTAAGCAATAAAAAATTTGCATACAAATTCTCCATTGTGATGATGAATTGGATGTATTTCTGTTAAACGGAACTAAGTGCCAAATTGAGTTCCTTTTGAAGATTTTAGAATATAGCGGATAGCAGCGTTCTGTCAAACGGAACTAAGCGCCATGAATAAGCATTGTGAGTATAGGATGGAACAAGCATCGCATTCCGCAACACCGGCTAATCCAAACCCCCTTCTCCCTTCCTTCCCATATGGCTTTTAGTTCTGTTTGATAGAAATACGTCCAATTAACTTGGCTCTCTTTTTTCTAGGTTCGGAAATGGAAATATACGACTTGAAAAAAGCTTACGTGAACAGCAAAGGAGACATGGACTTCATTTTAGAAGCCGTCCCGTTTACAAACACATATGAAGAGCCCAGACTGCGTGAGATAGTACAAAAATTAGTTGATGCAGAGGAAGTCGAGTATTACGAAAATTTCTTCAATGAACCCGATAGCAAAAGAGAAAAACGGAAGAGGAAGGTATGCCGCATATTGATACATATTTTTCTGTCTTTTTTCAGCTCTTCTAATCCTGATCTTTAATCTTCTTTCTTAAAGCAATATTTTCATCTATTGTTGCAACTCTTGTGGAAAAGACAAGTTAAAAAATGAGTCATCATCATGTCCAAAAAAAAAGGGAAAAAAGGGCATCCTTAGTAGTGTATTTCCTTGAAGTTGTCAGAGTGTCCCACAGGTGAAAAAAATTAAGTAAACCGTCATTTCTCTAAACTCCTGTAATTTTTTGCTAATTATACTTCTCCAAATTTTTTGAGTATAGTTGTAGAGGCTACATGGCCTCTCATATGATGCATTGATGTCACATCAGGTGACTTTGATAAAACTCTGAGAGGCCAATAAAAATCTTTTCTTCCACCTTGAAGCACATATTGAGCGTTTTCAGGGCTTAGGACTTCATTTTAGACTTTAAGGATGATGCAATTGTTTTTCTTACCAAAACGTTCTTTCAATAACAGGCTTCTATCTAGGATCCCTTTCTCATGGAATGCCTCCTTTCAACCTTTATGAATTTTTGTATTTTGATATGAAATTTATCCAGAAGTATCTCAAAGTTTGCACAGTTAATATCCAAAGAATTCTTTAAAACGTGCAAGAGAATGTTAAGAGTAGTTAAGAAAAGGTGGACTGAAAAAACTTAGAAAATCCTACGGGAAAAAGAGAAGTGTGTCAAAGAATATAATTTTTAAGAAGCAAGAGATGATTTAATGAAGTTCTCTCTGACATAGAAAAGCGCCAGTCCTTAGCACCACCTTCATTCATATTAGTTTTATTTTTTTAATGTAACATTTATTGATCTTCTAAAATAAATTACAATATCGTTTAAGTATGCCTCGTGTCTCAAAAAATCATCACCAACGCTTGTTTGGTCTTGTTTTACTCAGCTGCGAACAAGTGCTTGATCTTGTAATCTGAGAATCACAGGTATCGTGACATTGATTTTAGTCCGTAAGGAAATTTCAAGAGTGATAATTTTTTTTTATTACAATTCTTATTACTCTAATAAGGAGGGACCAATTTTATATTTTGCTATAAAATAGAGCATTTTGTCATGAAATTAGCCATTTTTGCCTGACGCAAACGGTTTGGTGGCTGTAAGGCCTAACCTTTAAATTGCGATAAACTGTAGATTTTTTTTGGAACTTTTTTCACTCCTGTTATTTCGATCTTGACAGCATGAAGGTTAAAAATATGAAAGCACAAAAAACTAGATGAAAAAATTGTTCTATTTCTCAGTGTCAGGCATGCCTTACTTTGTCACATTTTTTAAATTGTTCTAATCAAACTTTCTTTGTGTTTACAGTATGAAAAAGAGGCCAAAGAAGCAGAAAAACTAGAGAAAAGACTCAGTGCAGGGAAAGCAAAGAGGAGCTCGTCTGGTGAATTAGATTTGTTCCAAGCCATTAGAGGTCGTCAGAATGCCCGAGCAGCCCAGCAGGACTCTTTCCTAGATCGACTAGCCGCAAAGTATGCTTCTCCTGACTCAGATTCAGGCAAGAAAAAAGCAGGGCGCAAAGCCAAGTAAACCTTACCAGGTAATCTTTCATTCTCACGAAAATTTAGAGCTTGTTTCAACAAAGTAATCAGTTAAATTTCCCGTTAATTTTCATTTCACAGCACATCAATGCTAAGGTAAACTACTTTCTTCAAAGCTATTGGTCAATTAATTCCTCAACCCTTGCAATTTTTAAATCCAATGTCTCAAGCTTCATCCTCTCAGGTGAACTTACCCTAAATTTTAGCCTAAGCTATTCAGGGAACTGAGTGCAATTAGAAAAATCAGTTTTAGCTTGGTTTAAAATGGTCAAGTGAAGCAAAAAGTAAAAATTTCCTTCAACCTCATAATACCTCGCCTAGAGTTCAGTAAATATAGCAACACAGAATTTGCCAGTGTAGACAAAGCAGTGAGATTGTTGGTAATACAACCCCCTAATCTGTACTAACTGTGTCTGGTTATGAGTGTCCCACAGCCAGTTTAGAAAACTTGTCTGTAGCCACTTACAAATTGTTATTGTCTGGTAAAGAGGAAAATTAGTGAAATTTCTTACTATTTATTATTATGTACAGCTAACTTCCTCTAAGCCCAACACTATTAAAGTGAAATTTTCCTCTCAGTCAAACTTTTTTAAGGTCATGTCGAATTTTTCAGTAGTCTCTTATCGCTTCAATGGACATCTTTGTTGAAATTAGCTCTAGTTGTCAGTAACTTACATTTATGAACCCTTAAAAAGTGCGCTGGGTCTGAGAGATTTCATTACAGTCATTGTGGACGTACTGTTCGTGGTTCAGGTTTACTGTCTGTAGCGCTGTGTTCAGACAATCCAAGTTTCAGATGTAGGAGCTTTCAGATTAGTCTGAACTGTTAGCAGTAAGTTTTTGTATCCCATAATGGGTCAGTTGCTGAATCACTAAATTGCATTTTGATTGTTTCTCTCATTCTTTCCAGTCTATAGACCAGAAAAAAATGGGAGGAATCGTCCAAACCTCCAGTATTAATGGAGATATTGCCTATTGGAAAACACTGTGTATGCCATCACCACCGCGTGAGTACTTGTCAAGGTTTCTTTCATCTTTGATTAATCAATTAGTGATACACACATTTGCACTGGTTTGATGAAACCAAAGTGAAAGAAGTCATAGTATATGTCTCCGTGGCGGATGATGTCACTCGCTGTGTTATCCGAAGGTCATCATCTCTGTGAATGGTGGATAAGAAAACTTGGTGTTTTTACATATTTTATCATTTTTTACTGATCTCTAATTTAAAGTGATCAAAACTTGATCATGGCAACTGGCAAATTATCGGTCTCAGATCTGGCGTGTTTTTTTGTGAATGATCTGGAATCATCTCTGAACTTTTTGATAGTGTAATTAATTTCTAAACGTAGTTGTTGAAAAGTTTCCCTCTTTTATTAGAAAAGTCTGACTGTGATCATGGGAAGTAAAAAAAGTACTCGAAATTTGTATTATTTTTTCTACTTTGAATTTTGTTTTCTTAGAATTATCGTAAAGTGGCTTTATCAGGAGGATTTTCCCTGGTAGCAATTTCGAAGATAGGCTTACTTTGCGTCACTTTTGTATCATTTATAATGTAAATTCAACTGTACCTTTTTTTTAAATGTAGAGTTATGTGTAAAATTTTTTAAACTTTGTGTCAATGATTTTCCGTACTAATATTCATCGAACTGAAAAATCATGAACAAGTTTCACCACTCCTGAGTTTGCCTTCAGATTGGTAACTTTATTTCCCTCTTCTCGGTATTATTTTGTATGCTTGTACCATGAGCTGGTGCTCATTATTTGTGGCATGTGCTCGTGCATTCTTTTGTTAGATGAGAATATTTTTTGAAGGAACGGTAAGCGAAAAATAGTCTTCGAAAGTCATATACATAATGCAAGCAAGCATACTGTAGTATAATGTAATTCCACATTAATTTAGAATTTCTCCTCAAGTAAATTATTTTGTAAATTCATCCATTCTTATTTTTTACTCTAAGTTATAAAAATCTGTCTCCTTATGTGCAAAATACAACTCAGATTTTTCACTAATTTAGCATAGTGCTATTGTCATGATATCAACACCTAATCAACTCTCTTCACCTTAGCCAAGAACTTCAATCTAGGATTTTTCGTCATATTATTATTCTTTTTTTCCCTTTTTTATTTATTTATTTTTTTCTTTATATTTTCTTTATTTCTCAGGTCATTTTCTCCTGTTGGTAAAGAAGGCTTCAGGCTCGCATTAGAGAGAAAAAAACACTAAGAAGTGGCCTTAACTGTATATAACAACAAGGTGGAGAAATGGTACTAGGTCCACACCATTTCGCGGGGAAATCAAAACCAAGAAGTTCCAAAAATTATAATTATAGTCAAAAATATTTTTGTTAAACTCTAATGAGTACCGTACAAAACTGATTAGAGTCGAAAAAATTTATTTTTGACTCTAATTATAATTTTTGGAACTTCTTGGCTTTGATTTCCCTACGAAATGGTATGAACCCAGCACTATTTCTCCACCTTGTCTTGCATTAGTCGATCATTTGATTCTTCTTCTCTCAGCTCCAGGAGTTAAAATCTGTAGCACCGGAAAATCTCTAGTGCTGGTTGTCACGATCTCATTCTTTATTTCTCCTGACTTTTTTAATGTTGAGTAAGAGTATAAGTGGTACAATTGAATGTCAATAAGCAATCCATAGCTGCTTTTTCAAAACAGGTTGCGACTTTAATTTTTTCAGGCAAACAGTTATTTTCTTCAAATTACTGTCTTCAATCAACGTAAATCTTGTTTGCAGAAAGACGTCCAACTGTGTCCCAGCCTTTTATAAATTAACATTATTTTTTTAAAGCAGATTGAAGTGGCAGCAATTTACATTTCATAGGAAATTTCATTGTTTTATTATTAGGCTTAGAAAATATCTCTGGTATAAGTTCAGACCTTAACTCTCTAATTTTTACATCATAATTTCATTGTCAAAAGGAAAATAAATCAACAGTAGGTACGTGGAAGCTTCTTTCAGGGGTTTTTTTTTTCCTGTTCAATTAATATGTCTTAAAATTTTCAGCCTACAATACAGGTTTGGCACTCTTCAAAAAAATGAAGCACAGACATTGTACTTTTGAGAGTCCTTAAACCTTTATAGGATAATCTTGGTCGAGGTACGTTTATCTGAACTTCTACCAGTGATATTCATTCAATTTCTGTTCTTCTCAAAATAGGAGAGAGAGTGTACGTGTTTTGGGGGAAAAGAAGCTTACTCATCAATTTGTTTCAATTTTCTATTTAAACAAGTTCTATTACATCACCGTAGTTACTTATTCATAAATGACACTAGTACAACATTTGATTTAAAATAAGGATTTCATGCAAACAAGGTAGATAAAATTTGAAAATTCAAAGAGATAATAATGCAGCAATTCAAATTTGGAATGTGAGAGTCGAATTATGAAGTTTGATTCTACAAAATGCGCTGACTGAAGAAATGCCAGATCTTAGCACACAATTGGGTGTTCCTCTTTTCGGTTTTTTTCTCTTTTTCCAATGTTTATCATATTTAAATAAGTAAAAAAAAAGAAAATTTCTCGAAAACAAGAGAAAATATTTCCAATTTATGTGAGCACAAAGACATCACAATTATCTAAGCCGTGACACACAAACACATGAGTTAAGGCAATTACTTTTGCCGGTAGTAACTGGTGAGCAAAGAATTAACGATAGGCTAAGTTTTTGTATCAATTTTCAAAGCAAGTTCAAGAATGGTTCAGCTCTTAGTTAAAACTAATAATTAAGTCAATAATGTGTTTAAATTTTTTAATTTTTCCAGGATTTGAACAATCATACAAAAAGAGAGAAAAATAATTAAACTTAATAATAAAAAAAAACTTGATTGATTTCATTCTCAAAAATGATATCCGGAGGTACTGACTTCAACTCGCTTTTGTTTGTGCATGCAGAACTTGGCTTTATCTTTGAGGTGCACCAAAAGCGCACATAAAAAGGTTAAATTATCTATAATTTCATTTGTGCAGGCATTTTCCCCTCGCTTAGGTCTGACATTTCTATATACTCATAATTTAAAAGGAAATTCCAGCATGAAAAGGATAGATAAAAAACGAAATTAGTACAGTTAGGGGTTGAAATCTTGGCAGTTCACCAGGGTTGTCACTTTGCAAGAGAAAATTCGTCTTATTTTCATTGACTCAAAAAAATAAATCTTGATTATGGCAACCTTGAGTTTCAGAGCGTTCTTACTTAAGAATTGACCTACTTATCAAGTTATTAGTGAACAGTTACAGACAAAAGGTTCAACCTCAAAATAGTAATTGTATCTCCTCAGCATACAGAATAACACAGTGAATGAGGGAAGGTTGTATTTTCAGCTAATTAATTCTTTTAATGATTGCATTCTTAAACATTTTTCAGATTTTGCATACCTCTAAGGGTCAAATGTATTTATTGTAAGCCTCAAAAGCTGGTGCAACTTTGAACAGTAATGATTTATTTTATTAGGTCCAAACAATGACTATGTACCCTAATTTATGAAAGAAAATTTTCAAGACAGTAATATTGGCTCATGACCAGCTCAGTGTGATGGAGTAAAAATTGGTAGTCATCTTAAATTATCGACAGACACCTGTTTTAATATAGATATTGCTAAAAAGTCATAAAATCCAAAATTTAAAAAAAAAATACAATTAAAGTGCTAAACTTTCCATTTAAGTTGAACAGAATAGAATGATTTAGATGTGTTGAAGTTGAATGTAGTACCTGGTCGGAAATGTATCACACAAAATAATATTATTTTTAAAATTTGATCACAATCACTCTATTCAGAAATATTTGAAGCAATTCTCTTTAAATTACACATTTTGGGCTTTGAAAACTATGTATGCTCAATAGACTTAACCATGCTGCAATGTTGCATGTATAATAATGCACTCAGAGAATTTTCGGTAGCAATTTTTTCCGAAAACCATGTTTGCTGTTGAACTAGGACTCAAGGATTTTTAATTACTTGCTTTAATTAGAACACAAATACTCTCTCTACTAGTAAACTGGATTCATATACTTCAACCTCTGGGAATCGCTGTGCAGGTCAGTTTAATTTTTGAGGTGTCACGGAATTCCATGCTGCAAAAGGCAGACTTACCCAAGTAGCACAGTGCAACGAATTTTCCAGTATCATTTTGCAATTGAACTATAATGTTTTACCATAAAATTCCAATATTTTTACACTTTTTGGTCAATAAATACTGCTTTTAAACAAGCAATTAATGAGGTTTGACGTGTCAGAAAGGTAGGCAAATTGCAAACTTCATTGCAATAAATTTTAATAATAGGTGTCCTCTCGGTTAGTAGACAGGTAACGTGCACAACACTCCAATGCAGTGTCAATCATTTTACCAAATCTGAGCTACTTAGGAAGTTGACCTCAAACTCTATTCAAAGAGTTTTTACCTTGGTTAATAAGTTTGTTGAGAATTAAAATAAGATTTGAGGACAAATAAATCATTTTTATTTAAAATGATGTTGGCCTCTCTTTACAGAAGAATTTAAAAATTTTAAAATGTAGTCCAAAATATATATATATATATATATGTATAATCAATAAAATATAACAATGAGGAGAGGTTTTTATACCTCTACCAAGAGGTGCTCAGAGCATTTTTACATTATTTACAATGTTGACCTCTTCTTCTATCATACAAGTATCTCACATTTAATTTTTAATTCATAAAATTAATACAAATAAATTAAAAAATCATTCAGCTGAATAAATTAGCTTATATCGTCTCCCTCAGGCCAAAGTACCACCAACTCTTGAAGGCTGTGCTGCTGGAAATTTCAATATTATTTTAATTTTTTCTAAAAAAAAAAAAAAAAAAAAAAAAAACTTTTGCATGTAGATTCATGCAAATTTCAGGTATTACTTTTGATGACCGAAGAAATATGAGGTAAAATTTTCGAATTACTTACTGTTCATTGATTTTCCAGTAAAAAATAGACAAGTTTGAGAAGTTTGGACACACCACACATAGTGCCAAAGCACAAATGGACGTATTTCTGTCAAACGGAACTATGTGCAATATGACATGAGCCCTGTTATGTATATATTCTTATGGGTCTCAGGGTTCATGTCTTAATGCAAATAGTTCTGTTTGATAGAAATACGTCCAAATGACGCTTGTAATACTTAGGCCAAAAGGTGACAATATGTCGAGGAACTTAAATCGGAACTGGCACATATCCACAATATTCAAAGGCAGTTTAACTTGCAATCATGATTTGGTTGAAACATCAGTATTTTTCCATATAAAGAAGAAGGAAAGTAAAATCTGGGTTTAGATCTCCATTAAATTGTGCCGTAAGAATGATAGCTACTTTCACATCATTATTTTTTTTATAATTTTTTTTTTGGTCGCTGATCTCGAATTAGTTTTCGAGAAGTAATGTGAGTATTTCGAAGGGCGATACAAAGATTTAGCTATTTACTGAGGAGTTAAACAATCACCCTATTCATTTATCAAATTCATACAACTTTTCTCTGAACTTTAAGGAACTGATTAAAACGAAGGCACGTTTCTGAATTTTCGTTCTTTGAATTCTACCGACTGGCTTGACAATTTCATGGGCGCAAGGTAATTATTTCAATTTACAAATACCTCCTAAGTACTAAGGAAAAAAAGAGAGGAAAATAAATAAAATAAAGCAGGAAGTGTATTAAATACTTACAGATTTTACTCATTAGGCGGCCATGCCTTAATACTTTCTCATTAAAACTGATTATTTTTGTTTTCAGTCTTTACTTCAACTCATGGAATTTTGTCTGGCGTCAAAAAGCTGTCGCTAAACATGTAAATTTTAGCATAAAAATAATCCTTTGGTCCTTCTTGGGATTCTAATGAAGAAATTTGCTGCATATGTAAGTTCTGTAATATCCGATACTCTCTCTCCCGTCTTTATCAAAAAGAAAAAAACAGGGAGCATACCAGTGACAAGTGAACGAACTTATGGGTATATTTAGCATTTAAAACTAATAGTATTTATTGATAGTAATTTAAAATCATTAATTTACAATTTCAAAATAATAACACAATGTTCTGTACAGCTCCTAAAATCATTCATAATGATACGGAATCAGAATTACAACAGTTTTCTGGGTTAATTTTTTTGAGTTTTGTTACACTTAATTTGGTTTTTTTTACACATCAACGAATTTTTTCCAGTTCGGAAAGAAAGTATTGCTTTAGATAAGTATTACGTAAGTGTAGGAATTTGTGCGTCTTGCTAGTAGGATTTAAGGCATTCTTGAATGCAACTAAGTCCTCAGGTTAGAAATCAAAGGATAAGCCCTTCTTCATCTTTTCCGAGGCAGAATTAAATTAACAGATTAAAAATTTTTGGTTTTCAGTCAAGAACTAAAACTAAGAAAGAAAAAAATATATCGAAAAAATTTTTGAAAAAAATAAAATCATGGGGGAAGGAGGGGAGAACTGTTGAAGAGTAACTCTGTCTATTCATGAGATATCCAAAATCGTCATAAATTTTCAACAAAAAATTTTAACCTCGCTTGGAGGCAGTCTTTGCGTTACTTTTTAAGGACACCCGAACTTTAACTCGTCATCCTCTCCTTCCCCTGCGGTCTGATTGTTGAAATTCATAGAGAAAGCGATCGACAAAGAAGACATAAGGAGTATGGAGCGATCCTATAGGTTGAAATTGGTTGTTCTTATAGACTAAGGGAAACAATTATAGACTAACTAAAGGGACTCTCGTGGGTTGCCGTTAGTTAATCTATTACCTACCTCCATTGTTCATTGCAACCACCCTCTTCCACCAATAGAGTCTCTCCATCATAAGGATGACTGTAAGTCATCTTCGTCCATAGCTTTGTTTACCAATTTCAACAATCAGCCCCCAGTTTGGAAGACATCAGTGCTCATACATCATAGACGGTGGAACGACGTAATAAGCTATAGAATAAAGGAATTTGGCATACCAGTGAATACCCTCTTGGCTGGGCGTCGAGTGCGTTCGCGACACAGTCGATTGCGGGCTCGACGCGACTAATCCGGAAACGGTTTCGTAAAACCGGTTGAAACTACGGTTGATATTGTACACGAATCTGTAAGGTAGGAAAGCTAAATGGGCCAAGTTCTGATCGTCGATGACCGCGTAACAAGAGGCCACGATATCGTTCACTACTACGTTTCCCATTTCCGTTAGCGGAGCGTACATTCCGGTCTCCGAACTATAAGTTACCGAGTCGACGCTGTCCAAGTGTATTTTATTATCCCTAGTTATGATCAGCTTATCGTTGACGTCGATATTCTTGGCGAAAGTCGGCACCGCATTGTACGCGAACGGAGAGGTGAAGTTGGACAGATCCGTACGGGTCTTCTCCCACCTCATTATCAAGTGCGATGGGGTTAATTTAAGTTTCTGCCCTGAGGATGTTTTGATGTGGACGTAAGTGTGTTCCTTCTCCGGCTGCCGGTCCAGGAACAGCATCAGCGGACTGTACTCCAGTGATCCTGTCTCTGGGTTCATCGCCAGGAGCTCCTCTCCTATCTGAACCTGGGACAGAGCTTTCGGCCCGTCTCGAGTTCTCACTATTGTGTCGCCGGTGAAACAGCCAGCGCCGCTCGTATTGTTTTCTGCAACAGAGGAAAAAGCAAACGGATCCGTCATTAATTTGTGGGAAGAAGCATACTGTATATATTCAGCATAGGGTGTCGCGAAACGTAAGAAAGAAATGAGATGGATGACACAGGAGAGAAGTGGATATCACGGCGCGGTTCGCCTTCAATTGAGTGTTTAGGCAAGAACACATAGTAAACGTTAAAATAGTCGCATCCTTTAACCTTGAAGGCGCCAGCCTCGGCCGAACATTCACCGGTTCAGCATCCGAGGTTCCAGCCTCATAATTTATCACGGCGGAGTGGATAACACAGCGCGGTTCGCCTTCAATTGAGTGTTCAGGCAAGAACATATCGTACACGTTAAAATTGTCGCATCCTTTAACCTTGAGGGCGCCAGCCTCGGCCGAACATTCACCGGCACATCATCCGAGGTTCCAGCTTCATAATTCATCACGGTGGAGTGGATAGTAAGTCATATCTCTGTTGATGTGTCAAACAGATTATTCGTGTTATCAGTTATTAGTAATTGATTAGTAAAACGAGCGTGTTTTCCGCGTGTTTATGAGATAAGAGATTGTCAACTCCCTGATGACCTGTGGGAAGACCGAGCTTTGTGGCGATTAGGCGTCGCACAGCGCCAAAGAGCGCTATAAAAGCGACTCATATATATATATATATATATATATATATATATTCCCGCCTTTTCCTCCCTCTAGGCGGGTCACCTCTCGCTGCCATCCGAGGCAACAACCGCGCAACTCAAATGAAAACCGTTAGCAGATACGCTGTTTTTGTCAGCGGCTCAGTCGTGTGTTTCGCTGGAATTTTGGAATTTTCCGTCAGTTTGACCGATTATTTGATAAAAATTGATGCTTTTTTTTCTCATCAAATTTGACGATCCACGGAACTAAATCCGGGCGTATTCCGGACTCCCGGAACTGTGGGAAAAAAATCGGAATTCCTCTCGGAACTTTCTGAATCGGAATCAATGCAAGAGACCCCGGAATATCCGTCAAAGTGAAGTATATGAAGTAAATTATTATCGTAAATTTAAATATGAATCAGTGAGAACGAAAACACATCAACTCGGTGACTCGAAAATGCTCAACTTCCATTAAAAACAGTTGATTTACATAAAGGTCGTTGAAGTTAACGCACCTGTTCCAACTTGGATCTTTAAAGTGTCCATAAGTACTTGTCTTTCGGCAGCAAAAATTTTTTCCTCAAAGTAACTTCTTCGCCTACTGTGCAGTTTTGTGTGCGTCTCGATTATTTTCATTTTTCCGAGATGGTGTGTTTTCGTTCTCAATGATTCATATATTAACACTGGTTATACAGTACTTGGGAAGATCAAGCGAGGAATAGCTGACGATCAAGACCTGCCGGAGTTGGGTCTTTCTTTTCGGGAGCGTGGCTTTTGAGAAGCACAAACAAGAGAGAGGCTCCTTTGTGGCTGGTGGTCCGATCCGAGGGCCCGAAACCGAGGAGCGAAACGAAGAGCAAACAGCGATCGATTCTCGATATTTCCCCATAAGAAGCTATGGCAAAGAATCGATTGCTAAGCGAACACCCTGTCAATCGATCATTTTACATGGGTTTCAATGGGAGATCGATCGATGTATCGCAAAGCACACCTCGCAAAGCTACCGCGGAGCACGAATAGGCGAGCGCTTGGTTTTAAAGTTCGGGTACATGGAGCAGAGACAGGCCGGGAGTCTCGGTGTCAAATATTTATTGATAATAACAACAACAGCCGACGAGGTGCGAGGTGCCCGGCCCGAAACGGCTTTCTCATTGCGCCTCGTCGCACAGCGGACCCCGTCAATAAGAGAGGTCGGACATGAAACTTTCGACAAAAACTGCGAATTTGGAAGTTAATTTTGTCACATTTTAAATTTTCAAGAGCGTCCCTGAAAGGAAATTTCACGAGGAAACCAATGAGACCACTTTCAGAACCGCAAAGTTTTGTATGAACAGAGTTATAAGCGTTTAAAGTTTCGAAATTTTGTCCGACTCCTCCTATTGACTCGAGCCGCGGTGCGTCGTCGTCGGCGACTTTAACGAAAGGTAAAGAAAACAGAGGCTTATTTGCTTTTCCCACATAACTTGGGGAACAAACAGGACCCGGCCCACCTTTTCAGAAACAAATTTAACTATTTAGCTCCCTCTAAAGGATTCTATTAACAATCAATTTGGTAGTCAAGTGGCCTGGACTGGCCCTTCAGCGAGAATCTCGTAACCGCTATTGAAGCTCTGTTCTACCGCGCCGAGGGAAAACGCCGCTCAAGCGTTCGAATGTTGCCAAATTTCTTCGCGGATGATATTTATTTTTGGAGGAGGTTACGAATATTTTTCACTGAACTTTTCAGGCTTTTTAGATCGAACATCGAAGAAAATCATCTGAAAATCTGAAGAGAATCACCCAAAAAAGTGAAGTTGATTTAACATTCTGGATGTAAAATGAGTGGGCGAGAGCTCATAAAATGCTGAATTAGCTGCCACAGCGCAGTTAGTTTTACATCTTGCCATTGCTAAATTAACTGCTGTAGAGGGTAATTCAGCATTTTATAAGTGCTCGCACACTTTTTTACATCTAAAATGTGAAATCAACCTCACTTTTTTTCGGGGTTTCTCTTATTCTACAGATAAAATCCCTCTTGCAGGTATTCTAAAACAGTTACAATGGACCACTAGACAAGGTACGAATTTCAGCATTCTGATACATGTTTCTTCACCAAAATTTCACGTAAAACACGACGCGCACAACGAAAATTACCGAAATCAACTCCTTCCAAAGACATTTTATGATTCTTGGAGCGTGAATTCAAACCACCCGCTCATGAAAACTCAATGGTCTACGTGATTCACATCGTGCGCTAAACGTTATCATGAACGTCTCTGCGATAAAAAAAATCTGGCAACCTCAATCGTGACACTTGGCTCAGCTATAGCGAATTATTTATAGTTTGAAAAATACATGGTGGGAAATGAACATTGCTCGATTGAGAAGCTTGCTGAAACCGTTGTAGTGCGCGATTTGACTCACGTAGAGCTTTGAGTTTCTTGTGAGCGGGCAGTTCAGAAATAAAAATGTTAACATCTCCGTTAGGAGTTGGTTTCAGTAATTTTCGTTGCGCGCATCGTGTTTTACGTGAAATTCTAGTCAAGATACATGTATTAGAATGCTTAAATACGTACCTTGTCTAGTGGTCCATTCTTAAGCTCTGTCTAAGTTTTAGATGTTCTATGACACGTAGATACAATATGGCTAGCCGAGCGCTGAAAAGCTTTTTTTATTTATTTATTGACTTTTTTTTTTTTCAAATTTATCGTCTAATAACTCGGATGCCTCACCTTTCACGACCACAATCTTGACGAAACGCAAATCGAAACTCAACGAACAGTATTGACGGATCCATCCTCTTCCCAGAGCACGGTTTCTGATCTCGTTGGGTCGCAGAGTTGTGTGTGTCAGTGCTTTGCGATCGATCGATATTTCCCCATTTGAAGTTGTGGTAGAGAATCGATTATCATGGTGTTCGCTGCGAACATACCCTGCTTATCGATACTTTTTCATAGGTTTAAATGGTCGATCAATCGATATATCGCAAAGCACGCCACGCCACTGGTGTGTATGCGCATGCGCTTCAAGCTCGAAACATCAACACTCAGGGCACCCAGAGCTGACCCCACGCCCAGGGTTGTCAGTTAGTCTCAGGTTTTCACGATTCATACCGTGCTAAGGAACGACACCTTATCAGCATTTGAGTGATGCCAAATTTCCGCTGATAAGTACTGATTTTCGGGAGAAAATATGAATATTTCTCCTCCGATTTTTCAGGATTACCAGATTGAATTTCGGATGAACTCCTCGGAAAATTTGAAGAGAACGATTCCTAAGTTTTCGGAAAAACTCGTGATTTTGCAGAATAAATCAGGCAACGCTGGGTCCCCACGAGACGATCCTTCGTTTGCTCGCATTCAAAACCTGTTCCCCAGGCAGACCGCCGCCGTGTTGACGCAGCATCGGTTAATTAGTGATTTTAATCAATTATCGTAAATTCTAATTAGCTCGGGCGAAATTAGATTGTTGTGACGTATGGTGGCGCGCTCGCTCGGCGGGTTTTTAAAACGATGCGCGATGCGCTATGCGCTCAACACTCAACGCCCGATGAGTGCCGAGCGGTAGACTGGAATAATGGAGATGTTGCATGTGTGAGGGATTTGCGATTTGACCATTGATTCTTATGTAAAAGTTCGCGAGAAACACGATGGTGCCACTGGTTTTCTCTGAAATCATCTCCCAAGCTCAAAAAAAGCTCTCAAGTTGAGGCCAAAATGGAGAGGATATCCCACCCTACCCTGAGAGTCCACCTCTACATCAAAACTAACTCTCCATGCAAAGATAGGGAGCAAATACATTGACAGGGCTGCCACTTTATTTGGGGACTCCAAAACTGAAAACACGGCAACCCTGCTAATGTATTTGCTCCTTATCTTTGCATGGAGAGTTTGTTTTGATGTAGAGGTGGACTCTCAGGGTAGGGTGGGATATCCCCTCCATTTTGGCCTCACTTTGAGAGCTTTTTACGCGCTTGGGAGATGATTTCATAGAAAACCAGTGGCACCACCGTGTTTCTCGCGAACTTTTACATAAGAATCAATGGTCAAATCGCAAATCCCTCACACATGCAACATCTCCATTGCCCACCAGCGCTTTTACGCAATGGTCACTTGTGAGGGGTCCAATTCTGCCGTGTCGATGGAAAGAGCCTTCAGACGTTCCCAGATTCTCTTTCCTAAAAACCGAATGGACCGAAAAAATTTTGAATTTTTATTTTCGAATTTTTCAGATGATGTTGTTCGCAGCTTGATCTAAAATATCCGAAAATTTCACGGAAAAATATGCACACCTTTCCTCGAAAATACATGATTTATCGGGAGAAATTTGGCAACTCTCGAAGGTTCATGCGGCGTTTTCCCTCAGCACGGCAGAATTGGTTATGAAAAGTTGG